CTGTTTGTCTTCACCAACCTCCTCATTGGAGGGGGAGGATGTCCGGGGTCCTCCAACAGTGTGCCACTGCTCCAGCCAGCACAGGCCCCCAGCACCTTGGACTGAAGCCCACCCAGGCGACCTCAAGTGGAAGCTGTCACGGTGGGCTAAAGTCTTCTCAAGCCAAGCTGGGACAAGCTTTGGAGACAGGCCTGGATCTCAGTGCTGGCTGTGCTCTTTACCAGTTCCAGCAAGCCTCAGTTTCCCCATATGGATCAAGAAGGTAACAATGCCCATGTCATGGGGGTATTGTGAGGAGTAAAGGGAGCATGTTCATAAAGTATACAACACTGTAAGCACTTAGAAAATGCTGACCGATGTTTTTATTGGTCTTCGGTTGAGGAAAAGAAGACTCCTTGCAGATTTCTGGAGGTCTATCCCATAGCTCTGGAGGGAGGAGGTCTCAAATGGGTCTCACTGGGCTAAAATCAAGGTGTTGGCAAGGCTGTGTTCCTTCTGGAGGCTCTGCCCATCTGGTACCCTGCCTTTCTAGCTTCAAGAGGCTGCCTGCATTCCTGGCTCACGGCCCCTCCCTCCGTCTCCAAAGCTGGCAGTGCACCATCTTGAAATCACTCACTGACTCTGGCTCTGATCCTCCTCCCTCTGTCACTTATAAGGACCCTGTGTTACATGGGGCCTGCCTGGATAATCCAGAATAATCTCCCCATCTCAAGGTCAGCTGATTATCAGCCTTAATTCCATCTGCGATCTTCATTTCCCCTTGCCGTGTAACATAACCTATTCACAGGCTCTGGGGATTAGAACATGAACATCTTTGGGGCCATTATTTTGCCCGCTACAGTGGGTAAGCAAGAAAATGCTGTGACGTACTAGAATTTTGAGCTGTGAGCATACCTGTGCTCAAAAATCTACCATGGCTCCCCACTGCCTCAGACCCCTCAGCCTGGCGGGCAAAGCTTTTCATGAATGGGTCTCTATCCCACTCGTGAACAGGGCACTTCCTGGCCTGCTTGCCTCCGCTCTGCCTGAGAGGCTTTTTCTTCCATTTGTGATCTGCCTCTCACTGTGTGACTTCAGAGACATCCCTTCCCTTGCCCCCTCTGAGCTGCTTTCTCATCTCTCAGAGAATTCGTTCTCCACTCCTCCCCGCCGCCCCCCCCCCCCATATTGATGGAAAGAGGACCAGGCTTAGGACAGTACCAGGCACCTTGCTGGGGCTGAATGAATGGCCTAGAGCTCTCCCTCTGCAAGCGCCCTCGCCCTGTGTCTTGACTTCCTAGCGGCTGCTCAATAAAAACTTGTGAATTTCGTTTTAGGGAAAACTACTGGCTTGAATCCTGATGAAAAATGCTGGCAAAATGAGAAGAGCTAAAACAGCCAAGCTGAGTATGTGTGGTCAAAGGAATGCTAATTGCCTTCACACCCGTGAGCATTTTCCTTCTTTGCCTCATGACCACATAGTACAATAACGATCACGTGTATTGTCACAATGGACGGCTGATCAGCTGTTGCAAGTTTATGGTCATTTATCGCACACATGATTCCCCAGCACCTCTAAGGAGCCTATGTGGTGTTGACTGGCTTGTCTCAGGGGACGCGCTGCCTGCGCAAGAAGATGCCTGTAGCCAGGACGCTGCCTCCAGGCTTCCCGCGAGGACTTGTTACCTTAGAACACCAAACACACACACACACACACACACACACACACCATGCTTCCTTTGCTGCTCCTGGAGCAAGGAGTCTTCTCACACCTAAGAACACCTTGCAGGACACAAGTCACGTTCTTCATGGGCGAAAGGCTGTGTCTTTGTTTCACGAGCATGTAGCATTGAACACACCAAGGAGACATCCAAGGTCAGAATGGAACCCCCATCATGCCAGGTAGGAGGCTGGGCTACCAGGTAGTTAAGACCAGGAGTCTAGGAGCTTGGCTGACCTGATTCTAGTCCTGTGCCTTCACCAGGCCTGGGGTTAGGGTGGAGTAGGTGAGGGGCCTCTCTGGCCTCTGCCTCCTGCCTCGCCCCAGTCACAACCCGTCCACCACCTCTGGCTGTGTGACTTCAGGCAAGTAGCTCCACCTCTCTGAGCCTTGCGGGGGATGATACCTATTCTATAAGGTGTGTGGGGGAGGAGATTAAATAAGATAAAACCTGCTCCTTAATGGTCCCAGTAAATTGTGATTCTTTTCCTAAATTTGGCATTAGGCAGAATGGCCACCAGAGGGCAGCAGTCCCTATGCTGGGAAAGTAACGTGCCTGGTAATCCGCGATTCCCTTGGAAGGAACACACACACACACACACACAGAGAAGTGCGTGCGAGTGTGTGCGTGTGTGTGTGCATGCGTCAGGAGGGTTGTGTGCCTTGAGTGGGTCAACACAGCCACCAACCAGCAGATACACTGGCATTCTGCTGGTCACTCATGGCTGTGGTCACTTGAGGATTGGCACGAGCCTGACACCAGTGAATTGAGATTTACTGGGACACTCTATTCTACTCTCCCAGGATTGATGGAAGGATCAAGAGGCAAAATGTATGAATTCACATAACAAAACAGCATTGTCACGCTGCTGAGCCCCATTAGAAACTCTCTTTTCAAACCCCCGGGGAGGTCTGGTCTCGCTGCTGTAATCCAGAGTCTGGTCTCGCAGCTGTAATCCAGAGTCTGGTCTCGCGGCTGTAATCCAGAACCCTTCAGGTACCCGAAGAGCCCTGCTGCAGACACACACCTGCCAGGCCATGTGCATCCGTGGAAAGAGGAAGCCAACTCTTTTTTTTTTTTTTAAGATTTTATTTATTTATTTGACAGACAGTGAGAGAGGGAACACAAGCAGGGGGAGTGGGAGAGGGAGAAGCAGGCCTCCCATGGAGCAGGGAGCCCGATGTGGGGCTCGATCCCAGGATCCCGGGATCACGACCCGAGCCGAAGGCAGACGCCCAACGACTGAGCCACCCAGGCGCCCTGTTAACCTTATTCTTAACTATTTTATTATATTTGATGCTACTGTAAATTAAATTGTTTACTTAACTTCATTTTTTGCATTGTTCATTGCTAGTGCATAGAAATACAACTGATTGCTGTATGTTGATTTTGTATCCTACAACCTTACTGAACTAATTTATTAGTTTTATGTTTTTTAATGGATTCCTTAGGATTTTCTATATACAAGATCATGTTACCTGCAAATAGAGTTAGTTTTTCTTATTTCCCATCTGCATGCCTTTTATTTAATTTTCTTGCCTAATTGCCCTAGTAAGAACCTCCAGTACAGTGTTGAACAGAAAAGGAGGGAGTAGACATCCTTATCTTGTTTCTGATCTAGGTGCGAAAGCATTCAGTATTTCACAATTAAGCATGATGTTAGCTGTGGGTTTTTCATAGATGCCCTTTATCAGGTTGAGAAAATTCCCTTCTATCCCTAGTTTGTTGAGGTTTTTTAAGTTTTTCATTTTAATTCCAGCATATTCAGCATATGGTGTTATATTAATTCCAGCTGTGTGAGGGGTTTTTTTCTCTTAAATCATGAAGTGGTGTTGAATTTTGTTAAATGGTTTTTTTTTTCTGCATCTGTTGAGATGATCATGTAGTTTTTATCCTTCATTCTACTGATATGGTACATTACATTAATTGGTTTTCAGATTTTTTTAAAGATTTTATTTATTTGAGAGAGAAAGAGAGAGAGCATGAGCAGGGGGAGGGACAGAGGGAGAAGCAGGCTCCCCACTGAGCAGGGAAACTTATGCTGCCCCATCCCAGGACCCTGGAATCATGACCTGAGCCAAAGGCAGACGCTTAACTGACTGACCCACCCAGGTACCCTTGGAGAGAAAGCACCTGCAAGTGGGGGGCAGGGAAGGAAAGAGGGGGAAGGAGAGAGAGAATCTTAAGCAGGCTTCACATCCAGCGTGGAGCCGGACATGGAGCTCGATCTCATGACCCTGAGATCATGACCTAACCTGAAATCAAGAGTCAGATGCTCAACTGACTGAGCCACCCAGGCACCCCTGATTTTCAGATTTTAGACCAACCTTGCATTTCTGGGATAAATCCCATGGCATCTAGTCCTTTTTATTTATATGTTGCTGGATTTGGCTTGCTAGTATTTTGTTGAGGATTTTTGCAACTCTATTCAGAAGAGCCAACTGATGGATATTTAGATGATTCCAGTTTGGGGCTATTATGAATAATGCTGCTATGAACACTCATGTGCAAGTCTTGTCTTTGCATGGACATGTTTTCATTTCTTTTGAGTAGACACCTACGGGTGGAATTCCTGGGTCCTATGGTAGTTTTATCTGTTTTAAGATTTATTTATTTATTTGAAAGACAGAGAGAGAGACAGAGAGAGCAGGGGGAGGGGCAGAGGGAGGAGAGAATCTCAAGCAGACTCCCTGCTGAGCACAGAGCTGGATGTGGGGCTTGATCCCATGACCCTGAGATCATGACCTGAACCGAAATCAAGAGTCGGATGCTTAACCGACTGAGCCACCCAGGCGCCCCGGTAGTTTTATCTTTTTTAGGAACTGACAAAATGCTTTCCAAGTGGCGGTAGGCTTTTACATTCCCACCAGCTAAGTATGAGCATTACCTGACAATTCATTTAAACTGTTTCTTTCTCTATAAAGTGGTGGTAATAATAACACTGACTTCATAAAGTCAGGGAGAGGGGCGCCTGGGTGGCTCAGTTGGTTAAGCGACTGCCTTCGGCTCAGGTCATGATCCCGGAGTCCCGGGATCGAGTCCCGCATCGGGCTCCCTGCTCAGCGAGGAGCCTGCATCTCCCTCTCCCGCTCCCCCCTCTTGTGCTCTTTCTCTCTCTCTCACTCTCTCTCAAATAAATAAATAAAATCTTAAAAAAAAAATAAAAAAAAAGGGGGGCGCCTGGGTGGCTCAGTTGGTTGGGCGATGCCTTCGGCTCAGGTCATGATCCTGGAGTCCCGGGATTGAGTCCCGCATCGGGCTCCCTGCTCGGCGGGGAGCCTGCTTCTCCCTCTGACCCTCCCCCTTCTCATGTGCTCTCTCTTTCTCTCTCTCTCAAATAAATAAATAAAATCTAAAAAATAAATAAATAAATAAAAATAAAGTCAGGGAGATTATGATGTGTGACGGATTTAGCAAGGCACTGGGCCCAGACACCATAAAGCTCAATACATGACATCTCTTTTATGTTCCCTTGCCTTACTAATGTCCCAAGCTTCAGACCTGGCTTAACTTACCTGGATGAGATTGTCTTCGTGCTTTCCACGTAAACTGACTTCTTGGTGTCAAGTTCCACACCCTTCTCATTAGTCATAGTCCCCTAATTATCTAACAGGACCCTCAACCTAGTCCCCCTCTCCCACTGCCCTCAAGGTTTGTGTCAACCTCTTTGGCTCAGTGGGCTTTCCTAGGGCAAGAGCTCCAAACTGGCAGAGTTGGGGCAAACAGACAGTGCTCCATGAACCGCTCCTCTCTGCTGAACGACAGGACAGAAGATATTCATTGCTCTGCTTGGAAGGGACGTCTCCCGTCCCCTGTATGCCCTAACTCCAGGTGACTCCTGTTTATCCTTTAAGTCATAGTTTGGGCATCACCTCCTCCAGGAAGCCTTCCCTAACAACCACGCTCCCCCTCCCATAATGTATGTTACTGCAACTATCACGTTATTTGTAATTGTATTTTTATATGTCTATGCCTTATGAACATCCTAAGGATGGGGACTGTCTTTATTTACTTCTATCTCCTCAGTGCCTAACACATAGTAGGTATTCAATAACCCATAACCATATCTGTGTACAAAATATTTTGGTTACATGTTAGTATCTAAGTAAACTCTATAAAAAAAGGCTCTTGAACAGGGTCTTAAGGAATAAGCAGGCACCTACTCCATTGAAATGGAGGGAAGGACATGCTGGGTGAAGTGAACAGTAGGTAGAAAGGCCCCACAGAGGAAAAACATATTTTCAGGAGCTAAGAAGTCCAGTGTGGCTATGGGTGGTGGGATGGAGTGGCCAGTGAGGCTGGAGAGGTAAGGTAAGCCACTAGTCATGTTGTAAATTGACTTTTATGCCACTTGAAGGGGCCAGAGGGCAGAGAGGAGCCATCCATTAAACAGGAGAGACACGATCAGAACTGCATTTTTGAGGGAACTCTGGGGTGGTGGAGGGTATGAGTACCCAAACTTCAGCTGCAGTAGAATCTCCTAAAGGGCTCATTAAGCCACAGATTGTGGGTCCCACCCTGAGTTTCAGAAGGTCTGGGGCAGAGCCTGAGAATATGCATTTCTCACAAGTTCCTGGGTAATGCTGGTCTGAGGACCCCACTTTGAGAACCACTGATACAGAGGATGGGATGGAGAAGAATGGGTCACAAGCTTTCCAAACCGTCCAGCTGAGAGGTGATGGAGACAGAGCAGGGGAGGTGCTCACATTTTCGATCCGGGTGCCATGCCGCTAACTTTTCAGTGTCTTAGTGGTGGGATTTCAGGCTTGGTAATAAGCCAGTGTGGGAAAGGGAGGCTGTTTCTGGGGAGAAATCAGCCAGGTGGTCAGGATAGTCCCCACCTTTGACCTGGGAGGGCCAGACCCATACTTGGTAATGACCTCCAGAAAGCACAAGAATCAAGGTTTCCAGAATTGTCATTTAATGCCCAATTATCACAACACAAGGAGGTTTACACGGTGCTCATCAAGGCAGGACCCGGGGCAAAACCAGACCAGAGGGAAGTGACCTGTATAGGGTCCCGGCACAGGGACCAGGTGCCCTTGGGCCTAATCACCCTCAAGACACATCTGCCATACACAAGGCTTCTTCCCTCACCCAGGAGCCTGCAGGCTGGCTGGGCTTCTGGTCACCAAGGGTCCTCATGAGAGAACAGGGTCCCAGGATGAGGTGGGGACCCTGGGACACAATGATCAGAACCAGACAGCTGTCTGCAAACAACCCCAAAATGCTTTCACTTCAAATGCACTAAAGCCACATGACGCTCAGATGCAGGAACACCCAAACGCTTTTACTAGGAACTAAACACTGCAAAACTGAGGCTGAGAACACTCGGGGAGGGAAAGTCAAGTCAAAACCCTCCCAGAACCAGCTTTCTGAGCTTCACCGACCCCCTCGTCCTCCCACAGCGACACCAGTCCAACCATAGCATTGCTGCAGAGAAGGGGCACCACACTGGTCTAGCGAACACTTTTCATGGGAAGGGACATGGGAGCATGGCCCTGGTTTTAAGAAATTTCTCCGAACCTCCAACTCTACTGCACAACTTAGTGCTACTGAGCTCCCTGGAGCCCCCAAGCCTCTGGTGGCCCCCGGGGACACAGGTGACTTGGGGGCCACCGGTGGGCTGGGAAATGTCCTGGCAGATATCATGTACCTCAGAAAGAAAAGTGGCTTTTCTTCCACCCTAGTTCTAAAGTTTACATGGCCCCTAAAGGAAATACCCTCCAAAAGGCATTCTTAAAGCACTTGATGGAACTCTTGAGAGGTTTCAAGTGTCACTAGCAAGAAAAAGAGGTGTGAGCTTGTCACTTCCCCGCCCCCAGCCTGAGGCTTGGCCTGGGCAGTCCAGCCCCAGGGCCAGGCAGGGTCTGGAGGGGATAGCACAGGACAGGGTCAGCTGCTCAGGGTAGTGGCCACGGACCCAAGAGGCAGCCCTTCTGTCCAGCACTATGGCCCAGCATTTGGGGAAGGAGCTTGAATTCTGGCCAGATTTTACTATTAAACCCATTCCCGGTGAGTCCCGCAGGCCTCTTCTCCCTTTTCTCTGATTTAATTCTGGGAGAAAACTCTAGACAGAACCAAAGGCATGGAAGTCAAACATCTCTGTCTTCAGAGATGGGACATGACTAAATGGCAGCCCAAAGACCTCAGAACAGCAAGGCCATCTCGGCCCCACATGGTCCCCAACCAGATTCCATGCAACATTCCCATCCCCTGCCCAAGGGCCAAGGTAGTCCCTTGACCCTAGACATAGTGGGCTTCCAAATAGGCTTCTGATGAGACCCCTGTAAGTATCTGGGGAGGGCAGACCAGAAGCATCTCTGTAAAGCATACAAAATTAGCCCTGTATCCAGAGCTGGGCATCTGTTCCTGAGAAGGCACAGTTAGGGGCCCGGGAAGTTGTGAAAATGACAAAGTACAACTGTCCCCATGTGGGCATTAGTTCACATCGGACCCCACCCCCAAAGAAGCCCACCTTCCCAGTTTTAGGGCAGCTCAGGAGCCATCCCACGAGGCCAACTTCATATTTAAAACCAACTTAATGCTACAAACTTAAAAAAAAAAAAAAAAAGTGCTGCCCAGCTGAGCCCCTGAGGAAACCTAGCTCCCTGAGGGTGGGTGGTGGGCCTCTTAGACCACCATCCCTGCTGCCTCTCTCCAGAGGGCACAGTCTTGGTGCGGCCCAGAGCAGCCCCGCCCCAGGTTGGGTGGGGAAGAGAGCTGACCCCCTCCCCCACACCAAAGTGGGCTTCAGAGACACTGTGGGATGGTCAAGCCTCTGTGGGGGAGGGCAACAGACCTCAGGACCCTAAGCCTGAGGAGGTAACATAAGCCCATCTCCCCATCAGCCGCCAAGGTCTGGTCTGCAATGAAGATTCCTCCCTGTCAGCCCTTCGGCATTCCCATGACAAAAGGAGCCAAAATGCCACCAAGTCCTGGTCACCTCTGTCCTGGGGTGGTGGGGTGGTCTGTGTGAGAGCTGCTTGGGGGAGAGGAGATCCTTAAAGAAGTACTCCCTTCAATAAACAAAAAATCCTTCCAAGGAAGGGGAGGATGATACCAGTAGTTACCAGAGGGGGTGCTTTCTGGCAGTTTCTCGCTTTAATCCCACCTGTCTGTCTCTATGCGGGGGCTGCCACTCCCTCCCGGGTGCTCAGTGTAAGACAGCACCTGTCCCAAGCAAGTGTCACAAATGGAGGAAAGGTGCCCTAGGCAGCCCCTATAGCTGCTTCCACATTCCTGTCCCTGTTTCCCCCGGGCGGGGTAGGGGGGGTTCAGTGCTGACTCCCTGGGGGGTCGTTTTTCATGTTCTAAGGGGACGGAGAGGTAGGGAATTCCATAGAAGTGGGTCTCCACACCTGGAGCCTCGATGCCGCCTCCCCTGGGATGGCTCCCTGCAACCATCTCTGGACAGAGCAGACCAGGAATTCAAGGCTGGCGCCTCGGCTGGAGATGACAAGCAGGAGAAGCCAAAGGGCCTGCAGCCACCACTTACTAGAATTACAAGGCCGAAGTGCAAGTAGCGTTCTAGCAGACTGGACGGGGCCCCCAGAGACCCGGCCCACTGCTGCGGGGAAATCGGGGACCTGGCCTGCCCTCGGACCATGGACAGCACTGGGCCCGTCTGAGAAGTCTTACTAGAAACTAGAACAATCTCCCTGCTAAAAACTCAGGGAAGACAAACAAACAAAACTCAACCTGAAATAAATACAAAGGCATTAAGTGCTTCTTGATAAATTCAGGGTCCTAATTCGCCCCTGAAAGGCAGGGGCAGGGCCTTTCCCTGGACCTGGTTGCCTCACCTGCGGCCCTTCGCGTAGAGGTCAGAGGTCAGAAGCTGGATGGGCCTTCCCAGGCCCAGCTTCCATGAGGAAAGAGAGGACCCAACCCCTGGTACACTCCTTACCCACATCCTCTACGTACCCCCCTGCCGAGACAGCTTCGGCTGGCTGGTGGGTAAGAAAGAGAAAAGGCCCCCGGACCCCGAGGGCAGCACCTTGTGTCCCACGTCACTGCACGGGCAGAGGGCCTGTCAGTCTACGAGGAGGTAGAGCCAGGGGCGGGCTGCTGGGGGCAGGCAGGGCCACTCAATTAATCAGCAGGTCCCCAAGGTCGTAGGAGTCGAAGAGGTCACTGATGCCCTCGCCCCCGTCCAAGCCCCACAGGTAGTCGTCCTGGTCCAAAGGCGGGGAGAAGCTGATCAGGGGGGAGCTGCACGGCAGGCTCGGGGACAGGAACTGGTCCTCGGTCTGCTGCAGAAGTGGGTGTGGCAGCTCTAGCATGCTGTCCGTGGCCTCCAGGGGGACAAGCGGCAGGGGCGGGGGCACTGGCGGCTGCGGGACCTGCTGGGGAGTCAGCGCTGGCCCTGGAGACAAGCAGACAGAGGTCACACCTGGACCTGGTGCCCAAAAGCCTCTGGTCAGACCTCGGAGCACAGGAAGAGCCCTCCCCCGTTCTCTGGACCGCTGTGCATCCTCTTTTCTCCTAACCTGCCCCACACCCAGTGGCAGGCGACACTCTGCCTCTCCTGGCACAGCGGTAGCCACTGCCCTCGCTCTCCCGCACTCTCTCTCCCTCCTCCCAAAGGAGGTGGGATCTCTTGCTCTCCAAACCCTTGGAGCACCTGGGGCACCTGGCTAGCTCTGTTGGAAAAGCACGCGAATCTTGATCGCGGGGTCGTGAGTTTGAGCCCCACACTGGGTGGAAAGATTATTTAAAAATAAAAATCTTTAAAAAAACAAAAAACCCTCGCCCTTCTCACCTTCCAGCCTCTGGCCCCTGAAACCACATCCTCGTTTCCTGCATCACCAATTTCTCTCTCTCACAGATCATTCCCATCAACAGGCAGACACATTCTAACGACTCCTATCTTTAAAAAGCATCCTCCCCGACCTCATGACCCTCTCGAATTCCCAGCCCAGTTTCTGCTCCTTTTCATAGCAAAATTTCTCAAGAATTCCTGTGCTCACCCTCTACTTCCCCACCACAATTCACTCTTCAACCCACTCCAACCTGGGGGCTGTCCCCACAAAGCCACTCAGCCCATGACCTCCTATTGCTGGACTCAATGGTCAGTTCTCAGCCTCATCTTATTTGACCCTCCAGCAGAATCTGGCGCCATTATTCACACCTTCTGGAAACACCTTCTTCACTTGGCTCCAGTACACTAGATTCTCCTGGTTTTCTTCTTACCTCCTTGGCTGCTTCTCTTCTGTCTCTTTTGCTGGATCCTCCTCCTCTTCCTCACTTCTAAGCCCTCAAGGCCCCAGGGCTCCACCCTCAGACTCCTCTCTCTGGCTGCACATCTTCCCAGGCGACCACAGCCACCCCTCGGCTTTAAATCTCTTAGACCTGCCACGCACAGCAGATGCCTCTGGCACAGACCTCACCCCTGAGCTCTGGGCTCCTGCAACACCTCTGCTTGGATGTCTCAGCTACTCCAGAACTTAGCATGTCAAAACCAAACTCCTGGTCTTCCCTGCTCGGCTAATGGACCACCAACCACTCAGCTGCCTAAGCCAAAAGGCCCGAGAATCACACAGAATCCTGCCATTTCCAGGACACCTGGGGGGCTCAGTCGGTTAAGCGTCTGCCTTTGGCTCAGGTCATGATCCCAGGGTCCTGGGATCGAGCCCTACCTCGGGCTCCCTGCTCAGCGGGAAGCCTGCTTCTCCCTCTGCCTCTGCCCTCCCCCTTTTTGTGCTCTCTCACTCTCTCTGTCAAACAAATAAATAAAATCTTAAAAAACAAAAACAAAAAAACTTGCCATTTCCCCAGCACCCAGTCCAGCAGTGAGATCTGTCATTTCCACAACCAAATGTATTCTGCAAGCTGCCCGTTCAGTTCCACTACTGTGACCCTGGTCTAGCCCGTCGTCCCCACTGAGACCGCTGCTGGGGCTTTCTTACCAGTCACCTTGCAACGCTTGTGGTCTAGCTTAAAAATGGCTTGGCCAGCACCGAGAAGGTCCTGCACGATCTAGCGCCTGCTGCCTTTCTGCTCCCTCTGTCCCGCCTCCTTCCACTGACACTCAGCCTCTCCAGCTACACTGGCTCGGCTGTTTCTTTCCTTTTTTTTAAGATTTTATTTAAACAGCCTCTCGGCTGTTTCGAGCACACCAAGTGCATTTCTCCTTAGAGGCTGGAGGTTGCCTTCCTACACAGGGACGAGAATAGGGCACCGGAAATCCCCCCAAATATATCCTGATGCCTTAAACCCCGACCAAGCATTCCTTGGAAAAGAGAGCCGTGTGGTGTGCCCGCCTGCCTGATCAGCCTCTTACTCACCGTGTATCTGTGGGCAAGTGACTTAACTTGGACGAGCCTCGGCTTCCTCACCTCTAAAATGGGGACAATTCTCCCCACCTCGCAGGGTTGCTGAGAGGGTTCAGTGACAGGTGCAGGGGGAGAACCCTTCTCAATAAGCAGAGCTCCAGTTTACCAAGGGCTTACCACGGCCGGCTCTGCTCTCAAGGAGAGGCCTGTTTCACCTCCTCAAGTGGCCCCACAGGAGGCAATATGGGGACCCCATTTACAGATGAGGAAACTGAGGCTCAAAGGAGCCAATTAAATGTATGTGAACGAAAAGAATGGCATGTTTCTTTAGCGGGTTGCTGAGGCCTGCAGGGGTTCTGGCTTGGGAAGAGGGGGAGGCCCCGGGCTCGGACCCCAGCCCCACCCGCACCAGCTGTATGACCTGGAGCCTCAGTTTTCTCAGGAGCAAAAATAAGGCACCTCCTCCCTGATGCGCCGAACAGCAAGGAGAACAGGCGCCGAAGCCTCTGCCGCGGGTGGCCCTCGCTCTCTCGCGCTGCTCATCACGCCCAGGAGCGAGCGGCTCTCTCTCGGGTCAGGGCCTGCGCCACACTCCGCGGGCTCAGACTCGCTTCTGAATCTCCGAACCACACAGGGCAGGCGCCCGGTCTGCATAAGCTTTTTAAAAAATCACATTCACGCTGTCTCACTGCCTGTAACCCACCCAGGAGTCGTGAGGGAGTTTTAAGGGTCCCAGTTTTATTTTTATTATTATTATTTTTAAAGATTTATTTATTTATTTGAGAGAGTGAGAATGAGAGAGAGTACATGAGAGGGGGGAGGGTTAGAGGGAGAAGCAGGTTCCCCGCCGAGCAGGGAGCCTGATGCGGGACTCGATCCAGGACTCCACGATCATGACCTGAGCCAAAGGCAGTTGCTTAACCAACTGAGCCACCCAGGCGCCCTTATTATTATTATTTTTTAAAGATTTTATTTATTTGACAGAGACACAGCAAGAGAGGGAACACAAGCAGGGGGAGTGGGAGAGGGAGAAGCAGGCTCCCCGCGGAGCAGGGAGCCCGATGCGGGGCTCGATCCCAGGACCTTGGGATCATGACCTGAGCCGAAGGCAGACGCTTAACGACCGAGCCACCCAGGCACCCAAGGGTCCCAGTTTTAGAGACGTGAGGACAGTGGCTCTAAGGGGCCAAAGTGACCCGCCTCCAGTCACCAAGTCACGGTAGGCGAGGTGCAAACACAAGCCCCCGTCTTCCAGTGTCGGCTCCTGCGTGGTAGCGACACTTACGTTTACCTCAGAATGTGAGAGCCTGGAGAGGTGTTAGAGACAACCCTTGTCCAAAAGCCCCTCAGTGACAGATGAGAGAAACTGAGGCCCCAAAGGGTTAGTGATTCCCCCTGGTGATGCCAAAACCTGGGTCCCCAGACTGGGTGTGGCCCCTGGCGCTCAGACCTCAAAAGGGCTCTGCTTCAGGCCAGAACATGGAGCGTGTGTGTGTGAGATAGAGTGTGTGTGAGTGTGTGTGTGAGAGTATGTGAGTGTGTGTGAGAGAGAGAATGTGTGTGTGTGTGAGGGTTAGGGTGTGTATGAAAAAGTATGTGAGTGTGAGGTAGTGTATGAGAGTGTGAGGCTGTGTGCGTGTGAGAGAGTGTGTGAGAGTATGTGAGTGTGTGTGAGGGTGTGAGAGAGAGTATGTGAGTATGTGTGTGAGAGAGTATGTGATAGTGTGAGGGTGTGTGTGTGTGAGTATGTGTGTGAGGGTGTGTGTGAGTGTGTGTGTAAGAAAGTATGTGAGTGTGTGTATGGGAGAGAGTGTGTGTGAGAGTGTGAGGGTGTGTGTGAGAGTATGTGTGTGTGTGAGAGAGAATGAGTGTGTGTGTGAGATAGAGTATGTGAGTGTGTTGTGAGGATGTGTATGTGTGTGAGAGTGTGTGTGTGTGTGTGAGAGTATGTGAGTGTGTGTGGGTGAGGGTGAGGGTGTGTACGAGAAAGTATGTGAGTGTGAGAGAGAGTGTGAGGGTGTATGAGTGTGTGTGAGAGTGTGTGAGGGTGTGAGGGTGTGCATGTGAGAGTATGTGAGTGTATGTGTGAGAGTATGTGAGTGTGTGTGAGAGAGTGTGTGTGAGAGTGTGAGGGTGTGTGCATGTGAGAGAGTATGTGAGTGTGTGTGTGAGGGTGTGTGTGAGAGTATGTGAGTGTGTGAGAGTGTGTGCATGTGAGAGTATGTGAGTGTATGTGTGAGATAGAGTATGTGAGTGTGTGTGTGAGAATGTGAGTGTGTGTGAGAGAGTGTGTGTGGGTGTGTGAGAGTGTGTGCGTGTGAGTGAGCATGTGAAGGTGTGAGAGAGTATGTGAGTGTGTGTGTGTAAGGGTGAGGGTGTGTATGAGAAAGTATGTGAGTGTGAGAGAGTGTGAGGGTGTATGAGTGTGTGTGAGTGTATGTGAGTGTGTGTGTGTGTGTATGTGAGTTAGGACACCTTCCAGGAAATGTCCTTCTGTTCCCTTTGGCAAGGACATCACTAAGAGACCACATGGCAAGGGTGGAGAGGGGCATCCATGGCACAGAGCTGGCTCCTGGGCCGGCCTCACCACCAAGCACTCTGTCAGCCTCTACTCCTCCTGGGAGCACAACTGATCCGTAAAACCGAGGTAAAAACCTCACCCTTGCTTATGCTGGAGGGTCCCCCACCTCTGCCCCCGGTCTCAGAGGACATCTGAAGTGAAAGTGGTTCTAACCGGGAGAACTGTGCGCATGTTGACAGTGGAGTGAGAAGGCAGAGCGAAGCGGGAGGGTAAACAGGGTGGGGCACAGGTCTGGCATGGGAGATAGGCACTGGGCGGGGCCTGGAGGGACAGATGGTTGGTGCAGGGAGAAGCCTGCGTCCCTTGACCAGACCAGGACACAGGAGAGATCACCAGAGAAGAGCCGGGGGTCTGGGCTCTTGTCCAAGCTCTGCCTCCAACTTGCTGGGTGACCTTAAGGAAGTCAGTCGCCCTCTCTGAACCTCAGCTTATTCATGTGTGAAATGAAGGGCTGAGTTAGATCAGGGCTCAGCAAACTTCTATAAACGGCCAATGGCATTTTAGGACTTGCAGGATACTTACAGTCTCTGTCACACAGTCACTTTCTTCTTGCCCCCCAACTCTTGAAAATATGAAAACCAACCTTAGCTCATGAGCCACCTAAAAACAGGCCAAATTTTGCCTGTAGGCAACAGTTTGTGGACCCTTGAGTTAAAGAAATGGAATCCGGCCTGTGTTCTGTGGACGCCCCACGAAGCCTCTTCCATCAGACCAGTTTGAGCTCTGGTTTGTTTAAACACCAGAGTTCTACTTAAGGGAATTCTGCTGCTAAAAAAACAGAAAGTTGAACACTGGCCTCCATAGCCTCGAAGGATCTGTCAGTCCGACCTGATGTGTGATCCCCGTAAAGGGCAAAAACCATCCTGGGGGAAGGGCCTTCCCAGGCTCCCATTTCTACTCCTTCTGGACTCCTTCCCTGGGACCTCTCCCACCTCTTTGCTCCCTGGTGACTACCTCATGCTACTTCCTGCCAGGTATAGCCTGCTTCAGCTGTACGGTCCACCTCCCAGCCAGGGGGGAACTGCTCCGGTCAGGAGCCCTTTCCTTGATCTGTTCCAAGCCTCATGGAGAGGACTGGGCTAGGAGTTTGGGGACTGAGGGTCAAGACACAGTTCCGTTGCCTCCCAACTAGGAGACTTTGGGTGAGTCCCATCAACCTCTCTGCTTCAGTTTATTCATCTCTAAACTGGGAACAACAAGGCCTACAAGAATTGCTGCGAGCAGTAACGTGATAACATAGATGTACCTAGTACATAGTTGTGATTTAAAAAATCTTAGGGGCGCCTGGGTGGCTCAGTCGTTAAGCGTCTGCCTTCGGCTCAGGTCATGATCCCAGGGTCCTGGGATCGAGCCCCGCATCGGGCTCCCTGCTCTACGGGGAGCCTGCTTCTCCCTCTCCCCCACCCCTCCACTTGTGTTCCCTCTCTCGCTGGTCTCTCTCTGTCAAATAAATAAATAAAATCTTTAAAAATAAATAAATAAAAAATAAAAAATCTTAGTTGAGCCTTCCTTCAAAAATCTGAAGTGCCCATTTACTGCAGGCTTACTGAGGGCCAGGGGCTTTGCTGTTGGTAGTCAGCATAGCAGTGTAGTTCTAGCAGTAGCAGGAGGTTAATGGTGACAAGAATAGTCAGCAGTTACTGCGAGGCACCGTCCCAAGGGCTTTACCTACACGAATTCACTCAATCCTCACAACCTACGAAGTAGATACTGTTAGTTACTGCGCCCAACTTACAGGTGAAGCTAAGGCAAAGAGAGGTTAAGTGACTTGTCCAAGGTCACACAGCTGGTAACTGGAAGCGTGGGGATTCAAACCCAGGACCCCTCCGCCCCAGAGCACATCAGCCCCCCACGGAGACAAGAACACACGCACTTGCTTTATAAAGTGTAAAGTGTGAGCTGTCCCTTCGCTGCCCAACCGATGTTGCCACGGAAAAGGAAACTCTAAGGCTAGTTTCTCTCCCCACCTCCTGTCGCTCTGGATAGAGGGTCCTACCTTGGGATGCCATGGGTTCTATCATCCCAGGGTCGGTGCTGCTGCCGGGCTGGGTGGAGTCAGGGCTGGGGCCAAGGGTGGAGGTCGGGGGGAGGGGCTCCTTGGCAGGACTATCCGGCTCCTGCACCTCCTCTGGGCACAGGTAGACTTCGATGGGCCCCTGGGTGCTCTTCAGATATATCTGCAGGTTCTCCTAGGGGAAGAAGAGAAGCCAGGTCATGGCTCTGGGCAGCTGGGCACTGACTCATGGGGTGGGGTGTATGGATGGGGACACCCAGGGCTCCCACCATCTGTGTGAGCAAGCTCAACTCCTGAGCTGGGCCCCAACACCTGCCCCATCTGACCGTGGAGGACATCTGCTCTTTCTGCCTGTCTGGCCCCCAGGCTCCCTTCTTTGAGGGAGAATATCTTGATTTTCCTTTGGGAAACCACTCCTCTCCCACTCTCAAGTCATGTAGTTTGGGGGGACAACATCTTTCCCAACTCCAGTGGGTGAGCTTGGGGTGCAGGCTGGGAAAGTCACAATGATGGTGACTAGTTCAGGGAAGCACATGACTCAGCTCAGTCCGCTAGCATCAGACCCAGGACTCGTGCTGGACTTGGAAATGAAAGCTCCCTTCCCACAGGGGTCGCCGCTGGGATCATGAAAGCTTTTGCCACTGGAAGAGGGGAACCCGCCTGGGAATGGAAACAGCACAGAGAATGGCAGAGAAAGACAGAGAGCATGGGGTGAAGCGAAAGTCATAGTTGGAGCTCCTGCGTCTAGCCCTGCCCTCTGCACCTGTCACTTGGTTCCCCATAGTCCCCTCCACCCCCCACCCCTGACTTAAGCCATTTGGATTTGGCTTTTGTGACTTACAACCAAGAGTCCTGATACTTGGCCTTCCCACCCCTGCTTCTTCCCTCCCACCATCAATACACACCTGCCATTCCAACACGCACTCAAGTCTCCTCCCTGGTTCACCTGCAGGGCCCTCTGTCTACCCCTATTTCCCCTGACAAAAGTCCTGTTCATTCTTTAGGACCCAATACCTGTAACCATCTATGGGCTCTTCCTCCAACTCTCCTTTCTCTGGGCCCTCAAAGCATCTTAAGTCTATAAATGGCAACATGACTCCTTGCTTGGGTCTTTTTCCCACTAGGTCCTGAGCTCCTTCAAGGCAGGGGTGGGGCCCCATTTATCTTAATATCCTTCCATTAAACAAATTATTTCTTGAGCCCTTATATGTGTCCAGCTCTGGGCTGGAGGTACCCCAGGAGCGCAGCATGCTTTTGTGGAGTTTACCCTCTAATAGATGAAGCACAACATAATCACATAATCACCAATATCTCCGAGCAAACGGAGGTTAAGTGCAGTAGAAAAGCACAGGTAGTTATGAAACCGGGGCGGGGGAGGGAGGGGTGGGGGGTGTAATCAGGGAAGACTTCCTTGAGGAAGTGACCTCTGAGTTGAGACCTGTAGGACGAATAGCAGTAAACCAGGCAGAAAAAGGGAAGAGCATTTCAGCTGAAGAGAGTAGCAGCAGGAGGTCTTATACTGGGGACAAGCTTAGTGTGGTGGCGACACTGTAGAGAAGTCAGCGTGGCTCAGTCAAAGGCACAATGGGGCAGCATGAGAGAAGAGGCTGGTGAGGTCAGAGCACAGAAGGTCTCATTAGGAAGTAGTAAGAATTTGGGTCTTTAACTCGGCGAGCATGATTAGCAGGAAAGGATTATGGTGAGCACTAATACCATGGTGTGCGGGCACAGGAGGGCAGGGGCTGGTGGGTGCAGAAAGGTGGCAAGAGCGGAGATTTTCTTGGGCCAGTAGCTGATGTCTGTTGTCCTTTCTAGCTCCTGCCGTCGCTGCCCCAGCTCAGAGACCACCAATCTTGCCATGGGCGCCAGAATGGTTCAGGGAAGCTTGTGGCCAGTTAGCGCCAGGGACAGAGCCTACAGAGCAGCCTGGGACCCTCCATAATCTGCTCTCCACCAAATGCTGCCCCTCTCACCTCGCTCCTGTCGGGCACTTCCAGTCTTGTCTGTGGAGGGGCCTTGACCGCGATCACCGTCTGCTCCTTAAAGTTGCCAACGGCACGGATGTCCTGGTAAGTCACATAGGCCAGTGTAGGGGCAGGAGAGTCAAGAGAAGTAACTGGTCAAAATTCAAACCCCTAGCCTGCCAGGTGAAGCCTTGGAACATGTCTTTCTCATTCCTTACACAGCTTGGAAATAACCAAAAACGATAACCTGTTCTTTCAGTATCATAAGCTACCTTGGATACCTTTAGAAAATGAAAAATGGGAGTATAAATCATTTTTTTAACCAATTTTTAAAAAGCTGCCTCCTGTCAATTTTTTAGACTTTATCTTGGGCGCCTGGGTGGCTCAGTGGGCTGAGCGTCTGACTTCGGTGCAGGTCATGAACTTGGGGTCCTGGGATCCAGCCCCATGCTGAGCTCCCTGCTCAGCGGGGAGTCTGCTTCTCCCTCTCCCTCTCCCCCCCCCGCCCGCTTGTGCTGTCTCTCTTTTTCAAAAAGATAAATGAAATCTTAAAAAAAAGACTTTACCTCTCAGACTAGATCATTATCTCTGAGCAGGTAGTAAGACCTGTCTTATTTCTTTATATTTCTCACAATGCCTAGCATCCTTCCAAAAATACAAAGTGAGATCCAAAAGCCAATGAGATGGTGGAACCATTTGGGAAAAATGTATGAAAAGCCTTAGCAAAATCCATGTTTGTAATTTCAATCCTAGGAATCTAAGGAAATAAGTAAAAAATATAGGAAAATGTTCTCTATACAAAGATATTCATCACAATCCTGCTTTATAAAAGCAAAAATCTCAAACCGATCTAAATGTTGATTCTAGGCCTTCTCAACAAACCAGAATGTAGTCTGAGCAGGACCGTCTCAAATCATTCTAAATATGAGGTTAAATCACATGAGGTTGCTGTTTTTGTAAAAAATGGTCCAATAGCAACAATTCCATGTGGATCAAGCAAATAGGGAGGATCTGTAGCAACGTTAAAAACTCTCTATGGTAGGGGCGCCTGGTTGGCTCAGTCGGTTAAGCGTCTGCCTTCTGCTCAGGTCACAATCCCCGGGTCCTGGGATCGAGCCCTGTATCAGGCTCCCTGCTCAGTGGGGAGCCTGCTTCTCCCTCTCCCTCTGCAGCTCCCCCTGCTTGTGCTCTCTCTCACTCTCTCTCCGGCTCTTGGTCAAATAAATAAATAAATAAAATCTTAAAAAAAAGAAAACCTGTCTATGGTGATATACTAAGTGGGGGAAAGCAGGATATAAAATGTTGTGTATAACAGCTCACAACTATATTTAATAACACATACCCTGTGTATGGGTAAGAAACAAGGGCTATTTTGGGGTGGCAACTGTTTCTTTCTTTTCTCCATTTTCCAGATTTTTGTTTTGCTTTAAAGATTTTATTTATTTATTTGTCAGAGAGAGGCAGAAAGAGCACAAGCAGGGGGAGTGGGAGAGGGAGAGGGAGAAGCAGACTCCCTGCTGAGCAAGGAGCCCGACGCGGGGCTTGATCCCAGGACCCCGGGATCATGATCTGAGCCAAAAGCCGATGAACCAACTGAGCCACCCAGGCATCCCTCCATTTTCCAGATTTAAAGAAATGGACTTACTTTTCTAATGAGAGTGGCTTCCATAGACTTGTGAGGAAAAGCCACCGAGGAAGGCAGAAACACCCCGGAGGGTGAGCTCCCCCTGCCGGGAGATTCTATCCGAACTCAGGATGGCTATGAGCATGCAACAGGGCCCTGCTCCCTGACCGCTTCCCCCCACCAGACAGGATATCTCTTGTTGGCCTTGTCCTCGGTCAGGTGCTTGAAGTTCAGAGAGCAGCTCTGGATGAGCTGGTCCAAGGCCTGCTCTGTGCTCATCAGCTCCTTCAGCTCCTGCCCCAGCTGTTGCTGCTTCCCGGGCCGGGTGGGGTCTTCAAACATTCCCCTGCCTCTGGGAACAGAGCAGTCCCCCAGTGTCAGTCTCAGTCCACATCCAGGGGCCCAATCCCAGGGCTACAGCGCAGACCCGCACAGATGGTGCGAAACCCCAGAATGGGGCCATTGGTATGTTCCACAACGGTGCCCCCTGGGCTGTGCAAATCAGTGGTCTTGCCTTCCAGGGAGCTGCTAGGAATTGGAAACTGAAGTTCGGGGGTTGGGCTAGGGAAAAGAAACAAGTCAAGCCTGACCCCACTTTTGAGGGGCTCCCAAAAGGCAAGGCATTTGGGGCAGGCTGGGGTCCACGCTACACCCCAGCCTGCCCCAGATGCCTTGCCTGGGTTCTCTGCAGGTCTGCTCTGATCTTCGTAGGAGGAAAGGAGCCTGGAGGACTCAGATAGCAGAGCTGGAAGGAGGATCAGTTGCTACAGCCCAGCTCCCAGGGGACTTTCCTAAGCTAGAAGAGGAGAATCTTGGGATCCCCAACTCAAGAGGATCTAGGTCCTCTTAGGCCTTTACATGTCTCGGCTCCAGCCCCGACACACACCCGCCGGATAGTGCACCCTCCCACCTTCACCCACAGCACATGCACCCACAGGTGCCATTGGCCCCAGCACAGGCACTCACACCCACTGGATGTTGTTCTTGGCCTTCTTACGGATGAGCTGGATACCCTCCAGCACATTGGTGATGTCATAGATGCGCCGTTTCTGCACGTCTAGCACCTCGGCGGCCCAGTTCAGGTCCAGGACCCCATCCTTGGATTCGCTCAAGAGGTAAATGAACTTCTTGGTGAGCAGCCCCAGTGATGTGTCATACCGAGTCTTCTCTCCAGGAGACTTGGGTGCTAAGGGGAAAAGGGGCCCGGTCACCACTCAGGGAGAGCCAGCCTGGGGACCCTCATCCACGGATCTGGACCTATTAAGTACCACCCTTCACATGAACACAGGAGTAACCACTTCCCAGTTTACAGAGCACTGCGAGGCAGGAGGTCGTTCGCCAGCCCCGTCCAGGCGGGGAACCTGATACCTGGAGAGGGAACATGACTAGCTTAAGGTCTCACAGTCAGGGGCAGGGGCAGGACTGGAAACCAAGCATCTTCTAACTCCTGGTTCAGAGCACCTTTCCACCATAGCTTAGGGCAGCCATATCAACACCCCCCCTCCGACCACCACCAATGACAAATACTGTGTGTAGGTCACTGTTCGAAGCACTTCCCATATACAACAAATGCAATCCTTACAACACCCTATAAGCTGCTATACAACCATCCCCATTTAATGGATGAGACTACTGAGGAACAGACAGGTGAAGTAACTCGCCCAGCTCACTCAGCTAGAAAGTGACAAAGCTGGGATTTAAATCCAGGCAGCCTGGCTCCAGAGTCTTTCTTCTTAACCATTACCCTCTCCTGCCAGCTATGCCAGGAATCTGGAATTAGGGTAAGAGAGAAAAGGAATGATGCGCTGGGATTCGAGCACATTTTTCCACTTGCATTTTCTTTCCACGTGTAGCCTAATGATTATCTGAAAGGAATCAGTCCTATAATATCAAATGGGGCAGGTTCATGAAAAAAGGATCCTTTCTTAATGAGGCTGATGTCACAAGACCACATCCCAGCTGCAGTATCTTAAACCACGAGTGGACTTTGGCAATCAAGTGACTTGCAAGTCATACAGCAAGCCAGCGGCCAAAGAAGTTCTGGAAACTGAGTTTTGGAGAGCCTCAGATTCCTCCAGAAGGGGACTTTAGGACCCCTTCACATTTGGCACACAGGCGGTTTGGGTCAGGTTTTGCACCCTTGGCAGACATTGCTAAATGATCAGTGCATAGTATCTCTCAATCAAATGCTCCAGGCAGCTTCTACCCATCAACAGGAGGGCCAACTCTCTTGCTATTATTCCTGATCTAGCTGTGCTTTGTTTTACAGATGAGACAGCTAAGGCTCACAAGAAGAGTGGCCAGGGCCCTGTCCAGACCCCCAAATTCCTGATCCTCACGCTTTGCACCCAGTGACATAACCTTCTTCAGGAGGTCTCTGACCCCCCAAATTATTGTTCCTCCCTAACATAAGTTTCTAAAACTCCAGCTGGAACCAGGATATTGATTGAACATATCAGGAGCAGAAGTAGAAATTCCCTGCAGCTTAGCTTTCGAAAGACACCACCCTGGTGGCCTCTGGATCTTAACCTCTGAGGCACACTGAGGTTTAGACTAATCCAAGCTTCACTTCCCTTGGAATCACTCATTCAGCTCTCTTCCTGTGGGACAAAGACCCTGGTTCACCCTGTTCCTCTCGGAGCTGGATTCTGTCTTTTAGAAAAGGTCAGACTGAACTCAAGATAAACTTTTTAAAAAAATGAGTAAGCTCCCAAGTAAAACACCAGTCATCATTCTGGTCACGAGAGTGGTGTATGATGTGGGAGATGCAGGGCCCGCTTGGGTTTGAGTCCTGACACTCCCCCCCCCTCCCCAACCAGCAATGTGACCTTGGGCAAGTCACTCAAGCTCTGAGTCTCAAACCGCCTCATCAGTGAAAGGGGGACAGTGCTAAGCACGGCAGGGTTCCGTGACAGAACGCAGAGGAGCCTGCTTTGTAAACGGGGAAGTATGCGGCAAATATCACTCCTGCTGATGTGAGTAGGGTTGCTGCCCTCTGCCCCTGTCCGCCCCCCGCCCCCCTCCCGAGCCTGCCCTTAGATGCCCCACCAGCCCGGCTTACTTCTGGGGCTGGCGAGGCCGTCCACTCTAATGCACTTGCCCTTGGGAGTCCGGAATTCAGGGACTGCTGGCCTCCCGATCCCCTCCAGGTCCAGCTTCCTTTTGGCCTTGGAGAGAGGAGCGAGAGAGGCAGAGTTTGAGAATCATTCCTCCTTCAGTCTTTCCCCGAGTCGGGGCCAAAGCACGGAGGCCACCAGCAGCCGCTTTCTGTGCCTCAGTTTACCACCAGTCCTGGTGTAACATCACTGCCCTTGGTGAGGTAACAGTTCAGCTCGCCAAGTGAGCTTTCGGGGGGAAAGGGGGCCCTGTTTTCTGAAGAGCACACGACACTCTCATCCTGAGGTGCAGGTACCTGAAGATCACTGAAGCCATTCTGGCCAAGAGCTCAGGGTTCCTTAATAATGGGCCCCAAGGTCACTTGTACATCCGCCGTCCCCCAACCCCCATGCCCAGAGGAGGATGCAGGGAGGAAGGAGTGGGTAGGACCTAAACCACATCAGGCTGGGGAGAGCCTCCCGCGCCAAGTGCAAGAGCAGCTGGCCCGGCGGGCCCTGGTGCCCATCACAGCCCCACAGCTGGCCCTTATCAGGGTGGGGCTGGGCATCCGCCCCGGCCCAGGAGACTTCCTGGCTCAGTGCCACACCCCAGGGAGGTGCCCACATCGCGAGGCAGAGCCAACATTCCCCACCCCCATGTTTGGGCTCCCACTCAAGGGCCCCAGGGCCTCCTGAATAGACTCCATTTGCCATTCTTTCTTTGCTGAGAGGGGCAGACAATGAATCCTTCCCCTGCATCTCAAGGACAAACAGCTGAGGTCCCCCTGCTCCCCCTGCCTGTTCCCGCCAAGCTTGGGAAACACCTGCTGGGGAAATCAAACCACAGACCCATCTGCTCTTCTCCACCCCACTGCCACCAGGCCCCAATTAGGCCCAGAAGCTGCACTGGCCCGGAAGGGGCCTCTCTCCTGTTAGGGCTGGGCAGGGGCAGGGCTAGGGTACTGGGGCACTGGGGCATAGGTCGGAGGCCTGGACTTGCCTCTCCCAGCTCCTTTGTGGGCTCACTGTGTGTGTGTGTGTATCTGTGTGTGTCTGTGTGAGACTTGGGGAAGTACTCCACATCTAGGAGCCTCAGTTTCCTCCTCTGTAAAATGAGGCAGAAAACACCTGCCTTGAGGGACCACGGTGAGGAATCAAGGAGGTAACTCCTGCAAAGTGCTCAGCCTGTGGCTCAGCACACATAGGTGTTCAGAAAATGCAGAGTCCCTTCCCTGAAATCCAGGCTTGGCCTCTTCCTTGACACACCCTTCAGGGGGCCCCTGAGCCCATTTCCTTCCTCTCCCTCTCCCCTAATCACCCAGACACCCCTAAGTTGGTTGGGACAGAGAGGCCTATTTTAACGTTTGACAGTGAGGTCATGCTCAGCAGGGCTGAGACTTCTAACTGCTGCTGAGCACAGCTGGGCAGACAGGTGTGGGAAGTGGTGACAGCTCTTCTGGCTATCAGCTCGCCTCCCCACCACTGCGTCCTCCAGGAAGTCCTCCTGGACTGCTTCCAGGAGACCCGTTCCTTGGTTTGAGGAGCCTGGATACGATGCTCCTCTCTTCCACCCCTATCCAGACCTGGACATGATCCAAACACTTCCCTGCTCATTCCTCTTGAAGTCTCTCTGGAATATTCTTTTTCTAACCTCTCAGCTGGTGAGATCCTAGATTCTAGGGACTGTGACCTATCTTGTGTCTAGATAAAGGCCCAGTCATTCACTGAGACCTTCCACATGCCCTGGGCCGAGCCCCAACATTCATCACCTCACTGAGTCTCCCTAGCACCACCAAACCCCATTTAACAGCTGGAGTAACTGGGACTTGGTGAGCTCCAACGTCTTTATCAATCCCGACTGAAGTTGTCCATCCCAGGACCCTTCATCCATCCCGCAAGAAGGAATGCCAAGAGCAACGAGAGGAAGAGAAGTCAAGCTGAGTTCTACCCGAGGCACAGGCGGAGTGACCCAGAGTCTCCCCAACCCCATCCACCTCTCCCACCTGACAGGAGCCAGGCCCTGCTGAGTTCACAGAACACGAGGAAGAACCTCACTACCTGCAGAGCGGGGAGAAGGAAGGACCTTGAACAGAGTATCTGCACTGGGCCTATCACGTGCTCATCAGTCCTGAGCCATCAGCACTGGCAATTACTCTTGGCAGAAGAGAAATGGAGACTCAGAGAGGGTAAGCCATGAGCCCTAGGTCACACAGACAAAGGGCAGAGCCAGACTTTGAACCCAGGATTGTCTGACTCCAAAGCCATGTGCCAGGCCGTCTCAGCTCTTTCGCACACATTCCCCCAGATTTTGCTGGAACTTGAGCCAAGGCCTGGCTGTGCCCACCGGCCCCCATTACTTTATATACACAGACCAGTCCCCTCCCTTCCCTTACGGTCCCTCCCCTTACCCAGGACTTCAAGTGTCCCCAAGCAGCAAAATGTCCCTCATCCAAGGGTATCTCCCTGACAACTTGGGGCACAGCCCATGGATGGGCCTGAGCCTACAGAACAGAGGTGGCAGAGGACAAGCCCAGAAAGATGCGGGCCAAGGAGAGCCTGAGCAAAGGCCTTGGAGTCAGACCCCCCTGGGTTCCCCTCTAGGCCTCCCCCCTTCTTAGCTGGGTGAGCTCAGCAAGTCGGTTGACCTCTGGAGCCCCACCTGTAAAATGGGCATAATCTGCTCCACCCCGGCCGGGGATTCAGCGGCAGTGCAACAAAGCGCTTTGCTCACACAAGGAAGCCGGTATCACCAAAATTCCAGGGGCGCCAGCAAGGGGAAAGATTAGAGGTAAGCTGAAGAGACGGGGATGCGCCAAGAACAAAGGCCAGTCTGGCTCTAACCTGGACCCTCTTTGGAGGCAGCCCCTTTGGCTGTTTCTTAAAGGCCTGGTTAGGATTCAAGTTCCCTCGGCCAACCCCAAGGGAGAAGAGTGAAGCTCCCTCCTTAGGCAGCCCCAGAAGTGAGAGGGCTGGAGACCACCAGACACAGCCCCACTCTGGGCAGCAAAGTGACGAAGGTGGGGCTCGAAGGAGGGGGAGTGACTTGCCCAAGGTCACACAGGGAATGGAGCCAGGTTAGCCCAAAGTCCTAAATTTAGACGGTGGGGGTAGGAGCAAGTGTTCTAGATCCCAGCTCTACCACTCCATAGCCTGCATTTCCACATCTGACCCCGTCTTGAATAGTTGTTCCTTAAAATGTTCCTTTGCTTTCACGGTTCTCAGGGGACTTTGGAAAAGACAGACAGAAGGAAGGAGAACTGTGCCGAATCCCACCCTCTTCACAGATTCCCATAGGAATGAGACAGAATCACGTGATGTACCTGGCTGGCCTAGGGACTCCATAGAGAATCCCAAGCCTTCCCCAGAGGGTGCTGGAAAGAGCCCCAGACAGGGAGTGAGGAGACCAGGGCTCAGGCCTTCATTCTGCCATTGAACTTGGTTGCCATCCCTGAGGTCCCTTTAAACAGCAGCTCCCCAACAAATCCTACTCACCCTGCACTTTGCAGCCTGGCCACAAACCAAGCAGCCACACCCAGGGTTGGGTTTGGAGCTGCTCCAGGTCACACCCTGGTAAAATGAGTAAGCAGGGGGCCAGGCCTGCCCATGGGGCTGGGGGCCAGGGGGCATCTGACGGGAGAGGGGGCTCTCGGCCTGGCAGGCCTTTAGGGGAGTCTGATGCAAGGAGACTCTCCCACTTCTTGGCTTGTGACTTGGACAAGTGACTTCACGTCTCTGCTCAGTTTCCTCATCTGTAAGATGCCTCATCCCAGGCATCTTGGCCAAGATAACGAATGTGAAGAGTGCCAAGCAGTGCCTGGCACACGAGTGGCGTTCAGTAAAAGAGAAGCATTCTTGCTGTGATCACTGAGCCCCTCTGGGAGGGAGCTACAGACAGATGCACTCGGGCTCCTCTGGAAGGGAAGCAGTTCAAAACCACAGCTGTTACTGAAACGCAGCCACTGAAACCCCGCCTGGGCGCCTGAAAGCAGCTTGCCAGAGGGGACTGCACCCACCACTGAGCCCCTTCCCCCCCCCCACCAAGGGGCACCCAGCTCCTCGGTTGGGCAGTACTGCAGAAAGTCAAGGCTGCAGAGAAGAGACCAATGATCACCAGCCTTGGTCATACATCTCCCTGTATGATCTTGGGCAGATCACATCCTCCCTCTGTGCCTCAGTTTCTCCCTGGAGCTACTAATGCCTCCTGCTTCCCAGGGTACAAAACAGTGTTAGGTTGTAAAATGCTGAACATAAGATGCCCAGTCTCAGTTATCTTTGGCTGCTTGACCTGTGAAATGGGAATTGCACCCCTGCCTCCTTCCTCCTAGTTGGATGGAAATCATGGGCAGGAAGGGGCTCTGGAAAGTTTAAAGCCTTGAGCATGGGCAAAGCATGATTCCCGTAGCAGGGACTTGTGCCTGCTGCATCCAGGGAAGGCTGGGGGTCTGGGCCTGTCCACTGACAAAGGTCTGACCAGATGCCTCTACGGCAGTGAGGGGTGGTCTTAGCTCTTTACCTGAACTTATTCACCACTCACTCACAACGAAGCAAACTACAGCACCCCCATCTCCCCTCCCTGGAGCCTCTTTCCAAAACCCAGGACCTGGAGCTGGAAATGACCTGAGATGAGTTAGCCCAACTACCCCATGGACACATGCATTTTCAAGAAAAGGAAATGTGGGGCGCCTGGGTGGCTCAGTCGTTGAGCATCTGCCTTTGGCTCGGGTAGTGACCCCACGTCATCGGGCTCCCTGCTCTGCGGGAGGCCTGCTTCTCCCTCCCCCACTACCCCTGCTTGTGTTCCTTCTCTCGCTGTGTCTCTCTCTGTCAAATAAATAAAATCTTTTAAAAAAGAAAAAGAAAAGGAAATGTAAGCCCAGACTGGGGCCAAGACTTGTCCAGGGACACACTGAATTAGTGGCAGTCAGGACCAGAAACCAGGCTCCCCACCCACCACCCAATTCCCCCAGGGCATTTCCCACCCCACCCACCCCTACCCTATGGTTGTTTCCATTCTCAAGGGCTCCAGGAATTCCACTCCCACAAAACACACCCTGTACCTAGTGCCCAGATTTGGGGCCCTCCCTGGCAATGGCCTGAGAGAGGAAAAGTCCATCTGAATAGGAAACCCAGGGGGCTGCCCCCAATTTGCACCTGCTACTGGCTGTCTGGGAGGGAAGACTGGGCCTGGGAGAGACACAGGGCAGATAATTGGGAAAGAGTTGGTTGTACGGGAGATTTAGAGTCTGTTCAAGCCAGGCTGGACCTGAAAGACACCCCAGCCCTGCTTTCCCCCCCACCCCGTTTTAAAGTCCCCACTGTATGCCTAGACCAAGCCCTATACCTGGACCATAGCAGATGCCCAGTACCAGTTTCTGGACCAAACAATGAATGAAAGAATGAAGGAATGGTGGCAATGTTGGCTCCGTGGACTTCCTCAAGGTCACACGGTGCAGTGGGGGTAGTGGGCTGAGTCTCCGCACTCCCAATCCAGTGCTCATTCCACTCGACTCCAATGGATGAGGTTATTTCATCCCAAGTCCGAAAACGAAGGGCTCTTCAACTCAGATATGCAGGGCAATGGGTTGTTCTGGAAGTTGAAAGCTCTCTTTTCCCTCCCCAACTCGACCTGTTTCGTTCAAACTGGGTCCCAGGCGCCCCTCCCTCCTTTCCCACACCCGCAAAAGCACAGGGAGAAGCGGTGGGCGGCGGTGGGGAGGTCCCCAGCATTACCGGCAGCCGGCCAGCCGGCACGCATCGCACAGCTTGGCCCTCCGGTCCGTGGGGGGTGGCGTCGAGGCAGGTGCCGGGCACCGCAGTGGGAGGCACAGTCTGCGGGTACAGCGAGGTGTAGTAGGTGGCGGTGGCCGGGCAGAGCTGGGGGCTGCTGAGGCCGGGCGGCCACAGCTCGGTAGGGCTCATCGCGGGCAGTCCCTTCGAGGGCGGCCCGGCGGCTGGAGCCAGGGCCCGGGGCCCTCGCAGCATGGCGAGCGCAGCGCCCCCTCCCCAACCGGGCCTGGCGCGCCCGCGGGCACCTGCGGGCTCGGGAGCCCGCGGAGGCTCACACGGCCCGAGGCATGGCGCGGAGGCCCGGGGGAAGCCGCCAATGGACGCCTGCGGGGCAAGGCCGGACCCTCCCCTCCTGGCCCGCCGCCGAGCCGAGCAGCGCTTGGAGATCCCCGCTTGGAGATCGCCCCGCGGCGGCGGCGGCACGGCCGGGGGCTGTCCCGCCCCGAGGGCGGCGGCGACCCGGGACGGCCCCGCGCCCCCGAAACGCCTGGCGCTTAGGGTCTGGCTGGCTCCCGGCAGGGGTCTCTGGGGTCGCTGGGGGCTCGGAGGAGAGGCGATGCGCTCAGACGGGGAAGGGGGGCCGATTGCACCGACTCCCTCTCGCCTGGCTCTTTGGTCCCCAAGCCTTTCTCTGCCTCTTTTTTTCCCCTTCTTCTTCTTTTTTTTTTTTTTTTTTTTAGCGCCAAACTGCGTGCCGCGAAATTCGGATCTCCCGCGGAAAATGCCGCGCTGTGGTTGGCCGCCGCTACAGGCACAGGCTCCACCCCCCGGAAAGGACCGGTCCCCAAGGCTGCGATTGCAACACGAGCTTCGCTGCTTAAAGGGGCCGCCACACCTCCTGTCGCCCGGCGCTCGCCGGCCCTAGCAGCCCGCCAAACAGGCTGGGAACGGTGGTTCCCGTACCGTGCGGCAGCAGCCGGAGCAGCGCCGGGCCCGCTGAGGAACGGGCCCGGATTCCCTGGGGTGGTGGGAATTTGGGCACGGAGTCCTGTCCTGAGCCCGGACCCAGCAGCACATTACCCAGGCCGAAGGCCTTTTGTTACTTTGCATGCTTGCTTACTTAGCATATACGCTTTTATATCCCTTCTCTGCCCCGCTAAAATGAAAGCCAGGAAACCTGTTTTCTTTCTTGGCAGGGGGGCGATGGGTGGAGCCTAATATTTATACCTCTTCGTAGGAGGATGCTAACATCTGCTGAAGGCCTACAGTGTGCCCAGCACCCTGCTAGGTCATTGCATGGTTTTATTTCATTGAATCCAACAATCCCCGGAGGAGGCATGATGGTCTTCGTGGTAAAGATGGAGAGACAGAAAGGCTAGGTAACTTGCCCAAGATCACACAAATTCACTCACTTGAGAACTAGCAGTCCAATCTGGACAGGCCAGCTTCTGAGCCCTTGTTTGTTCCAATAAAAGGTTTCTCCCCCACCCTCCCAAGCTGTGCCTGCCCTGTGCAGGCCTGGGTGGGGGCTGGGGGTCCAGAGTGCAGAGCTCTGTCTTGTTCTCAGTAACATTCCCAGAGCCCCACACTCGGTAAATATTTGAACATCTCCATGTTTTTCCTAAACAATCCTTTTGTCACAAGAGCCTCCCTCCCTCATTCAAAACCTTCATTGCCAATAATCCATTTACATTCCCAGTCTCTCCAGCTTAGAGATGCCGAGGATCCAAGAAGTGACCTTAGCTAGCGAGTGGTGGAGTTGCCAGAAGCTGAATTCCAAGTCTGCCGATTCCTGCCTGGTGCTGCGTGATTTCTATGCGGGGCTGAGGCTGGCATTCAAAACCCTCCAGAGTCAGTCCCCAGCTTCATACCTGGTCCTTATCCTCAGATCTCGAGGATGAGGTGGCACTAATGCACGGTGATCAAGAGCCCAGACTTTGGGCGCCTTGGGTGGCTCAGTTGGTTAAGCGACTGCCTTCAGCTCAAGTCATGATCCTGGAGTCCCGGAATCGAGTCCCACATCGGGCTGCCCGCTCAGTGGGGAGTCTGCTTCTCCCTCTGACCCTCCCCCCTCTCATGTACTCTCTCTCACTCTCTCGCTCTCAAATAAATAAATAAAATCTTAAAAAAAAAAAAAAAAAAGAGCCCAGACTTTGTAGCAGACAGCACTGGGTTCAAATCTAGACCCAGCCACTTAACCAAGTGTGTGACTCCAGGCAAGTTTTATAAACTGTCTGAGCCTCACTCTTCTCACACTATTGACACCCACCTCACAGGATTGTGCGGAAATCTCATGAGGTATGTACAGCTGTCAGCACAGTCTGGTTCCTAAAGAACCTCAAGAAATAGCTGTGGTTACACTTCCGGCCTTATCTCCAGTTCGCAGACCCCTTCAGTCCAGTCTACATATTTCACTGTTCTTCAGGTCCAGCTTAATAACCTCACCTCCTCCAGGAAGCCTTCCCTGCCTGCCTCCCCTCTCCCAGTCAGAGTGCTTCTTGCCCTCTTTCCATGCTTAGTGTGTTCTGACTCAACAAATAAAACTCTATTTGTGGTCAGGAGGCTCCGATTCAAGTCCCACTCTCCACTTCGCGGCTGAGCAACCCTGGGCAGGCTGCCGCTCCCCGTCTCAACTATCAAGTACGGACAAGGCTTCTACTCAGCTGATTTCGCAGGACTCCGAGACGCTATTGAAATGGTGGTGGTAATGACCCTCACGACAGCCCTCTGGGACAGGCACTGTTATTATCCCCATTTTACAGATGAGGGATCCTGGAAGGAATTGTGGCTGAGCAGGTTTGGGGAAGGAGCAGAGCCCCAGGGCCAGGAAGGGAAATGGGGGTGGCAGGGTGGGGCTGAGACGAAAGAAGGGAGCCAGCAAGGGGGCCATGAGCCAGCTCTCTGTGGTTGAGTTTTGGGCTGCTGGGGCTGGCTTTAGTTTCACTGCCTGGGAATGGACTAATTCCTGTGGGGCACATCTGTAGTCTGTCTCCCCGAACTTGAATTCCTGCCCCATCCATTCCTAGCTTGTGCTCTTGGTCAGGTTGCCAGACTTCTCTGAGCCTCACTTTCTTTGTCTTTGAAATGGGGATGGCATGGGGTGCCTGGGTGGCTCAGATGGTTAAGTGTCTGCCTTCAGCTCAGGTCATGATCTTGGGGTCCTGGGATCGAGCCCTACATCGACTCCTTGCTCAGTGGGGAGCCTGCTTCTCCCTCTCCCTCTGCCTGCCGCTCCCCCTGCTTGTGCTCTCTCTGTCTCTCTCTCAAATGAATAAATAAAATATTAAAAAAAAAAAAAAAGAAATGGGGATGGCAAAAGTGACCTTTTTATTTACCGTGCAGATTCAATAAGGTATTGGCTACAAAGTCCCCAGAGAGGTGCACAGTAGGTACCTAATGTATTTTAGCTAAGATCTGTGAGAGATGGACCAGAAGAGGCCCCAGTGGAACCAAACTAAAATACTCGCAGTTTCCCATTCATGTGTTACATGCCCCCATTTCCCAGGCTTTGCTTCCCTGGCTCCGCATCCACAAGGCCCCTCCTCCCTTCCATCCCCAGCCCCCCACCCTCCTACCCCCCACTCAAATCTGACCTACCTTTAAGGCCCCACTCAAATGGCAGAGTGGCAGGAGCAAAGTGTCTGAAGTCCGATGTTCAAGGAAACTCCAAAATCCTTGGGAACGGGACCCGTGCTTTGTTTTCGCCTGTGTGCCTCCCCCCCCACCAGAGTGCCAGGCACATAGTAGGCCTGCAGTCAGTGATGCTGGTGATGGTAGCTCACATTTCTGAGCATGTCCTCAGTGTAAAGCACCCAGCTAGGCCCTTTCCATGCATTATTATGTTGAAATGTCTTAACTGCCCTGTAACAGAGGTACAGTTTGGACAGAGGAGGAAACTGAGGCTCAAACACGTAGAGGGATTTGACCAAGGGCTGATTAAAGATGAAACCAGGAACTGAACTCAGACCTCCGTCTCCCTAGGCACTGAGCCATTCTGAACTAAGAGCTTCTCCCCAGTATCCCAGGTGAAGGAGGATACATCCTGCCCATGAATCCGAGGTTCCAGTTCAACAGACATTGTTGGAGGTGGAAAGAGTGTGCCCCACAACTAGATAAGTTAGGGATGTTTAGTCCCATTTTCCAGATGAGGGAGCCAAGGCATGGGTGACATTAAGCAACTTGCCTGAGCCTGCACAGCTGGTAAGGAAGGAAGACCCTGTTCCAGCCAGACCCCAAAGCTCTGGAAAAGTCCCCAAACCGGGGCGCCTCTGTGGCTCAGTTGGTTGAGCATCCAACTCTTGGTTTTGGCTCAGGTCATGATCTCGGGGTCATGGGATCGAGCCCTGCGACAGGCTCTGCATTCAGCGTGGAGTCAGCTTGGGATTCCTCTCTCCCTCTCACCCCTATTCGCACTCCCTCTTTCTCTAAAATAAATAAATACATCAAAAAGAAAAGAAAATTCCCAAACCAAAGCAAACTCCATCCCAAGTGGTGTACCTCATCCCTGGTGTATCTCCTCCTGAAAAAATGCCTCAGATTCCCTCTGTTCAAAGTCCTACTTATCAAAATACAAAATGCTTGATAGAAGCTTCCTGAAGGTACAGACCTTCTGTTTTGGGGCTCCCCAGTGTGTTACCTATTCACATGAATCTAAGATCAAGAGAGAAGCCAAAAGGGAGCTGTGGGAAGGAAGGGGGGAAATCTCTGCTTATTAGGGAAAGGAAAATCAAAACCACAATGAGATTCACACCCGCTAGGGCCGCCGTAATCAAAAAGACTGACGAAAACAAGTGTCCAGGACGTGGAGAAATTGGAACTCTCATACGTTGCCAGTAGGAATGTAAATTGGTGCAGCCACTTTGGAAAACAGTTATTCACAGAGTTACCACAGGACTCAGGAATATCACTCCTAGATATATACCCAAGAGAATTGAAAATGAATGTTCACCCAAGAATGTGTACATGAATGTACCTAGCAGCATTATTCATAATAACCAAAAAGTAGAGATAACCCAAATATCCATCAATGGATGAATGCATAAATTTCAGGTGGCATATCCATACGATGGAAAATTATTCGGTCATAAAAGGGGATGAATTACTGACACATGTCACAACCTGGATGAACTTTGAAAACATTATGCTAAGTGAAAGAAACCAGACACAGGGCGCCTGGGTGGCTCAGTTGGTTAAGCGACTGCCTTCGGCTCAGGTCATGATCCTGGAGTCCCGGGATCGAGTCCCGCATCGGGCTCCCTGCTCAGCGGGGGGTCTGCTTCTCCCTCTGCCCTCTTCCCTCTCGTGCTGTCTCTCATTCTCTCTCAAATAAATAAATAAAATCTTAAAAAAAAAAAAAAAGAAAGAAAGAAAGAAAGAAACCAGACACAGAAGGCCATCTATTGTATGATTCCATTAATGTGAAATTTCCGGAATAGGCAAATCTATAGTGACAGAAAATAGAGTCGTGTTGCCAGAGGTGGGTCCGTTCCATTTCACAGATGAGGAAATTGAGGCTCAAGAGAAACTAAGTTCCACTATGCTCACCTGTCTGTGTGGCTTTGGACCCATGACTTCACCTCTGTTGGAGCCCTAGTTTTCTCAGCTGTAAAACAGAGATAATAATGTGCACCTAAGAAGGTGGTTTTACATGCTTGGTATTTTTTAGTTCCTTTTCTCTCCGGCCTTTGGGTGGAAGCTGGTGGGGTTTTATGGTTAAGGGTGCCACCTAGAGGTGAACTCAGGCAACTGCAAGGCTGTCTATTTTGGTCAAGTCAGCCCCCTATGGGCTTGGGAAGGAGAAAAAGGATGTGAAAGGCGCAGCCCTGCTGGGAAGGCGGCGGAGGTCCAAATTGGCCAGATTCTTTCCAGATGTGTCCAGACCCTGGAGATGTTTTTCACAGATGTTGGGTCCTGTGAAGGTGGCCCCACGTTGTAGGAGGGCAATCAGATTCAAGTTCCAGTAGAGATGCCCAGAGGTAGCATAGGCAATTGCCACCCATAATTCCTGGGGTTGTCAATTAATTCTCTCCTCTTCCTGTAGGAATTCTTTTTTTTTTTTTTTTTTTTTTTAATATTTATGTATTTGAGAGAGAGAGCGTGAGGGAGAGAACAGGAGCAGGGGCGGGGGAGAGGGAGAGGGAGAAGCAGGCTCCCCGCTGAGCAGGGAGCCCGACAGGGGGCTCCATCCCAGTACCCCAAGATCATGACCTGAGCCGAAGACAGACGCTTAACCAAACTGAGCCACTCAGGCGCCCCTGCAGGAACTCTTTAAAAGGCACACCTGAGGGCGCCTGGGTGGCTCAGTTGGTTAAGCGACTGCCTTCCGCTCAGGTCATGATCCTGGAGTCCCGGGATCGAGTCCCACGTCAGGCTCCCTGCTCAGCAGGGAGTCTGCTTCTCTCTCTGACCCTCCCCCCTCTCATGCTCTCTATCTCATTCTCTCTCTCAAATAAATAAATAAAATCTTTAAAAAAAAAAATTAAAAAAAAAAAAGGCACACCTGATAGGGGCGCCTGGGTGGCTCAGTCGTTAAGCAACTGCCTTCGGCTTAGGTCATGATCTTGGGGTCCTGGGATGGAGCCCCCTGTCGGGCTCCCTGCTCAGCAGGGAGCCTGCTTCTCCCTCTCCCTCTGCAGCTCCCCCTGCTTGTGCTCTCTCTCTCTGTCAAATAAATAATTAAATAAAATCTTTTTAAAAAAGATAATTGCTTTTTCAATATCATATTAATCTTAAAAAAAAAAAACTGGGGCACTTGGGTGGCTCAGTTGGCTAGATAACTGACTCCTGGCTTTGGCTCGGGTGGTGATTTCATGAGTCATTATGTCATGGATCATGAGATCGAGCCCCACACCAGGCTCCCTGCTGGGAAGGGAGTCTGCTTGGGGATTCTCGCCCTCTGCCCCACCTCTGCTCATGTGTGCGTGCTCTCTAAAATAAATAAATAAAATCTTTAAAAAAACAAAAAACCGCACACCTGATTTTATCACTCTCTAGCTTAAGATCCGGCAAGAAGTTCCCCACCAAGGCCTGGCCACCCCTCTGCCCCCAGCCCCTCTGATTTTCAGTCCCCTTCACACAGCAACCTTAGGCTCTGATCAAATACACAACTTCTGACTCCCTCTCTGACCTCCTTGCTCCCCCTGTTTGCCTATCCTGTCCTCTTTCCTCTTCCACCAGGAAGAAAAAGTCTGCGCTCAGATACAGGTTTCTCAGATACACAAGTCATTGAGAATGCTGTGACCTCAAACAACACTCTAAAAATGGGTATCCTGGAACTCTTCAGACTGACAGAACTGAAACCAGGGACAGCAAAATCAAGAATCCAGATCAATTACTAACATTGAAAAATAAGACTCAAAATACTTTTGAAATAAGCAAGACATTCAGTCTTTGGAGTCCAGGTGATGTTGGTACGGGTGTGGGTGGTGATAGCTTCTACCCACCCCTCCCTCGGAAGCTGATCCTGATGCCTGCTCCCCATGTTCTGTTAGGAATCTCAGGCCATCCTAATGTCACACTATCATTACAGTGGTTTTTCTGTTCGGTCTTCTTCCCCAGATTTAAGCGGTTCCTCTTCTTCATCTTTACACCGCAGTATCCACACCAGTGTCCTTCACAGAGTAGAAACAGGAGAATTGCTTACCAAACTGAACTCAGTGAATGTTTTTTAGAATCTTTGAAAGATCATTCCTGATCTCTTCCCAGGAAAGCCCCTGGCCACTGTCAGAATCTCTTTGTGTCGCTGCATGGGGGAAATAGGGGGCCCTGTGGGGCCAAAGAGGTCATAGGGGCCGGTATTCTCAGGCACCACCTTCTCTTGGCCTGTGGAGAGAGGACCATACTTCTTGCTTTCTAATCCCACCTGTCCCACCCCCCTCATCATTCCTCCCCCAACAGGCAGATCAAAACAATGCTAATAGTAGCAAAGCAAGCACATGCACACCTCATATCCACTTCAGCGATCACAAGAGCCCTATGAGGAAGCCACGACAAGCCCCATTGTAGAGATGAAAGAACTGAGGCTGGGGAGTAGTTCAATGATATGCCTTGAAGGCATACAGCTTGAGTATCAGGGCCCAGAACTGTGTTGATTTACTATGTGCCACTCACCATTCTGAAGGCTTATAAATCTTAACTCCTAATCCTCCTAACATCCCTATGAAGTATGTATTGTTATCACTCCAGCTTTACAGATGAGGAAACTGAGGCTCAGAGAGTTTAGGTAATTTGCCCAAGGTCACAGGGCTGGTGACGGTCGGGCAGGTTTTGAGCCAGGGCATTCTGGGTTCATCCTCTTTGACCACTCTGCTGTCTACCCTTCCTTCAGGATGTCCTCTGCAAGTCTTGGCTGCAGTGTGTGTAGTAGGATAAGAATACTCACCTCCCAGGGTGGTTATGAGGATTAGATCTAATATGCGTGGGCATCTGGAACTCAGTACATACCCAAAGAGAAGAGGTCAATTTTGTTCCTCTGGAGCCTCAACAATTGCAGCAACTGGCCACCAGGGGGGAGTCACGTGCTGAGGGCCGAAGCGCTCCCCAGCCGCCTGGTCCACCGTCCAAGGGTTTTCCACTGTGCCCAACCCTGGGACCAATGACATATCTCAGCCTGTGCCAGAATCTCACGGAATTGACCTTCTTGCAAAAGAAATAAAGTTTAGGCCTTAAATGCATCCAAGGCCCCTTTGCTAATTCCAGTTCTGGGACTGAGGGGCTGGGAGGATGCATGGGGAGAGCCCAACTGTGTCCCGTTTGGTGGTGGTAGTGGTGGGGGGTGACAATTATCAGCAGTGCCCCTTCTGCTGGGTTCCTGGGGCCACAGCTGCAGGGCGGAGGGTGGCTGGGGGAGCTTTGGAATTGTCTCCCTGGGGGTTTCCATGGTTACAGATTGATGCAGGCAGCCCACTAGGCTGGGTCCTTTATCTGTATTGTCTCCTGGGGAGACAATGGGCTTTGGGGATGGGGGGCACTTGATGCAGATCACTTCTGCAGCGGGAGCTTTGTGTGCTCTGCTCCAGGAATCCCCGGACCCCGCTGCTGGAGCTGACAGTGGGCCGTGGGGGTCAGCCTTGGAAATCGCTCCTTGCCTTGGTGTACAACATTACCACTGCAGACTGGAAGAGGCCGCCTTCCGAGGCTCCCAAACAGCAGAATGGCAGGGGCCTCGAAGTAGCAAATAAAAATCCCACATTTGGGAGTCAGCCCTGATGGAACCATGATTCTGTCCCTTATTGCTGTCTGACTTGGGTGACTTATTTTCCCTGTCCAAGTCCCAGTTTACTCATCTGGAAAGTGGGGACCACACCTACTTTATAAAATTACTGGACCGAAGCACCAAGCACAGAGCCCGGTATGAAGAAGGTCCTCAGAGGGGACGCCTGGCTGACTCAGTTGGTACAGCATGTGAGTCTTTTTTTTTTTTTTTTAAGATTTATTTATTTATTTGAGAGAGAGAGAGAGAGAGAGTGAGGGGAGGAGCAAAGGGAGAAAGAGAGAGAATCCCAAGCAGACTCCACGCTGAGTCCGGGGCCTGATGGTCGCAGGGCTCGATCTCACCACTCTGAGATTGTGACCTGAGCCAAAACCAAGAGTCAGAGGCTTAACTGACTGAGCCACGCAGGTGCCCCAGAATGTGACTCTTGATCTCAGGGTCGTGAGTTCAAACCCCACGTTGGGTGTACAGTTTATTTAAAAAAATAAATAAATAAATAAATAAATAAATAAATAAATAAATAAAATCTCTAAAGAAAAAAAAAAGGAAGAAGGTACTGAGTACCTGAGCTCACACAGGCTCCTGGCATGTCTTGGGTCACAGGACTGGCTCTGTGGTCTTAACCAAGGCCCTTCTCTCTTGGACTTAGCTGCTCGTCTGCAACCTGGGGACTTTGGCAGGCTTATAAAGGATGAAGTGAGATGATAAAGAAAATGCTTAAGGAAATAGAAATCAAACCCCTAACACACGACTCTGCCTTCTAGGACTTAAATCTACTTGGAACATGCAACACATGCTCACAGGGGGCATGTGGTATTTGGGGGAGTTGAATCTTTGCTGCTATGGTATATAAGGACGATTTTTTAAAAAGATTTTATTTATTTATTTGACAGAAAGAGAGGGTGTGTGCACAAGCACAAGCAGGGGGAGAGGCAGGCAGAGGGAGAGGGAAAAGCAGACTTCCCGCTGAGCAGGGAGCCCAACGTGGGACTCGATCCCAGGACCCTGAGATCATGACCTGAGACGAAGGCTGACGCTTAACGACTGAGCCACCCAGGCACCCCTAAGGGAGATTTTCTAACGGAGGCAAGATTTGGAGGGTCTCCGAATCAGGAAATTATTCCCGAAAAATCTGCCACCCTGTGCCAAAAAGAAACAAAAGCCCAGAGGGGTGAAGGGACTCAGCTCCCTGCTGCCGAGTTTGCTCATCTTGCCCCATCACCATCTTCTCCAAGGGAAGGGTACATGTAGGTGGGGAGAAAAGAAAAGTGGGGGAAGTTGTCATTTGTGGGACACCTTCATATGAAACAAGTTGCTAAGCTCATTTTATGGATAAGGGAACTAAAGATTACTATTCTAACAAGAATATTCTAACAAGAATTCAACTGGATTGGCCAAATGATGTATAAGACCCAAGACTGAGGTTAATTTATCTGCACTATGGAAGAGAGAACTTGCCCATGGGAAAGGTAAAACAATTCCTTCACCTTGAAATAATCAGTGCCTAGGCGGCTCAGTCGATTAAGTGTCCAACTCTTGATTGCGGCTCAGTTCGTGATCTCAGGGTCTTGAGATCGAGCCCCGCATTGGGCTAGGCTCTGGGTGTGGAGCCTGCTTAAGATTCTCTCTCTCGGGCGCCTGGGTGGCTCAGATGGTTAAGCGTCTGCCTTCGGCTCAGGTCATGATCTCAGGGTCCTGGGATCGAGTCCCGCATCGGGCTTCCTGCTCCTTGGGAGCCTGCTTCTCCCTCTGCCTCTCTCTCTCTATCTCTGTCTCTCATGAATAAATAAATAAAATCTTTAAAAAAAAAAAAAAAGATTCTCTCTCTCCCTCTCCCTCTGCTTCTCCCCCCATCTCTAAAATAAATAAATAAATAAATAAACAAACAAACAAATAAATAAATAAATAGCAGCAGAGGGAAGCAAAAACTTCTAAACGTCTATCCTTCCTTTCCTTACGAGGCACTTAGCCCGGAGCCCTGCACACAGTAGGTGTTGAAGAAAGGAAAGTTCTTGTCACCGTCACCATCACCAACATAATAATACGTTATTACTAAATGTATTACTACACATTCAATGTTGGGGCTGCAAGGATAAACAAAACTCACTCCCCTCTTTGAGGAATTCACCCTGGTGAGAGGGAAGGACGAGTGCAAAAAATCATCTCTTCCACTTGTTTGGCATTGCCAAGCACCTTCACATCCGCCTTCTCACTGAATTCTCAAAACACCCTCACGAGGAAGGCATTTTTCCCATTTTAGAGATAAGAAAACTGAGCCTCGGTGGGCTTCAGTGATTTTCCCAGACATTGTAAAATATGAATAAAATAGGAAATAGAATAGTGTTCAAAGGAAAACACCTTCATTGGATTAACAGATGTGTTTCAAAGCAATAAAATATATTATGTGGGGCAGACAAACAATGGCCCCATTTTATTAAAGAATATATAAAAGATAGCCTTTACCGAATTAAAAAAACAGCCAAGCTCTTAACAGTGCTCCTTTATGGAGCTGCCACTATGTGACAGGTGCTTTCCAGGAGTCTCTTTAATCCCTTAACAACCCTGTAAGGTAGACGTGGTCAGCCCCGTTTCCCCGAGGAGAAGCCAATCTCAGAGAGGTGAAGCTCCGTGCCCAGGGATGCACAGCAAGAGCGGGATAGAGCCAGGACGGGGCCCCAGGCTCTAATACACAGCTGAAGAGCTGGAGCCTGGACCTGTTCCCAAGTCAGTTTTGCCAAGGAATATACTCCTTGGCAAAGGAGAGGTGACCCCACTTTCTTGTCTCACTCGGCAGAGCATGGTGAGTGGGAGGGAGGCTGCAGGCAGTTCTCCAAGGTAAGAGGGCAGGTTGCAGCCCAGCTGGGGAGCAGTACAGGGTAGCCTGGCTTTCTCAAAGTGTGTGTGTCTGCGTGTGCTTGGGTGTGAGCACACGTGTGACTGTGTGTGAAGTTGACTGGATGCCGGGTCTCATGAAGCCATGTGATAAAACTCTGTACATCTTCCCAAAATGTCAATTTGACTTCCAAAATTGAGACATGATGAATTATATATATATATTTTTTGAAGATTTTATTTATTTATTTGACAGAGAGAGACCCAGCGAGAGAGGGAACACAAGCAGGGGGAGTGGGAGAGGGAGAAGCAGGCTTCCCGTGGAGCAGGGAGCCCGATGCGGGGCTCGATCCCAGGACCCTGGAATCACAACCTGAGCCGAAGGCAGACGCTTAACGACTGAGCCACCCAGGCGCCCCTGTATGTGAACTAGTTTAGTCCTCGAAGCCGTCTGTTGCAGGCACTGTTATTACCCCCACTGGATAGGTGCAGAAAGATGCGAAGACAGGATGAAAGACGTAACTTGTTCAAGTTCCCACAGCCAGGCTGTGGAGGTGTGTGCGCACACGTAAGCATTTCAATAGCCAGATATTAGAACATCTGTATTACCCATTGTTAGTTCAGTTGAATGTTTACAAAAAGACCTGCCGCTGAGGATGATGAAGAAGCAGGTGGCTTGTGCTTGATTGCCTTGACAAAGTGACGAGGGCTGCCAACTGCAAGCAACTTACCCACACCAGGTACTCTCCCTCTGTTGTCTTACTGAATTCCTACTACAACCCTTTGAAAGAAGTACTCTTGGGAGTTTTACAGATGAAAAACTGAGGCTCAGAGAGGTCCCTTGGCTGGGACCTCAAGGCGTCCCTTGGCTGGTCACACAGCTGAGAAGTGGCGGAGACAGGATTTGAATGGGGGCGTCTGTTTGACCACAAAGCTGCTACTCACACCTGTGATTATTATATCACCTCTGGCCTCCGGGTCCTCTGGCCTCTGGGTCGTGTCCTTCCTACGCGCACCTGCAACTCCCGTTCTCTTCTAGAGAGCGGTCCTTTTATGAATGAGCTGGTTCTGGATCAGGCTGAAACTGGACAGGCTCACAGAGCCCAAAGTTCCATCCTTCCACCAGCTGAAAACACATTTGTCATGAAATAATTATAAATCCCAATCATGAGAGAGTAGGAGCTGGGCACTAGCCAGGAGTGTAAAGATCTGGCTTTTAAGCTCTAGCTCTGTGAGGAGACCTTTCCACATGACAGTGGATGAGTCACTTCCCTGCTCTGGGACTCAGTTTCTCCATCTCTGAATTAGGAATAGTAAATCTAGCTGTGACTTACCGAGTATCTGCCATGTGCTGGTGGGTTTCCAGGTGCTTTACATCCAGTTCCTCACCAAATCCTCCCCACGACTCTGCGGACAGGGCGCAGGATCCTGGCAGTATTCCAGGGAGGAGACCCGAGGTTCAGAGAGGTGAGGGAGATCGTCCCACGTGGCACAGCCTGGGAGTGGAGGTACTGGGCCGGAGTCCTGCTTTTGGTCCCTGCTCTGCGCCTCAAGGCACCTGGCTGTCCTGCTGATCAGAGGCTCCTGGGGGGCTGTCAGAGGGCTCTCAAGGGCACGTGTGCAGGGCAAGCAGTGCTGGGATGTCATGACTGAGTTATGCCAACCGCACCACCACCCCGGAAAGAATTATGTTAGGAATGTGACACCCAAGCCCAGCAAGTTCTTTGGTGGGGGTGACCTAGCACCAAGCCCTTCACATAGGTCAGCTAAGTTAATCATGAAAGCGACCACGGGAGGCTCTGAAAGGATGAATAACTTACCTGTAACGGCACAGTTGAGACACACGAAGTCAGGATTTCAACCAGCATCCGTCCGACTCCCAGACTCCCAGAAAGTGCAGGAGGGCCGGGGTGGCCGGCTGAGGCCAATTCTGTGTGACCCAGTGGTTTGTATGGAGTTTTCGAAGAGCTGCAGACATCGACAGCACTGGATGTGGAGGCTGCATTAGAGACCTGGGCTCTGCCACATACTCCGGGGTGACTTTTGGCAGGTCCCCTAATATCTGTGAGCCTTGTAGGAGTGAAACGGAGGCAGCTCCCAAGTCTCCTATTACCACGTAGACTAAAATGCTGTGCACGAGTGAGTAGCCTCTTTTGCATGCCTTCTTGCTGCTCCCTTTGTATATGGAGTCAAGCCTAGAGCGGACAATGCGATTGACAAGATGTGGGACCAACATGTAGGCTCCTTGGAACCCACCCTGATGAACCTTCGATGGATGCTGGGATCAACCCTTCGTACATCTGGACCCACTGCAGGACCAGTCAGGGGCCCCAGTGGGGGAGGGATGTGTGTGAGCCAGGGTGTGTGTGTGTGTTGGGGGTGGGTGTCATCTGTCTTGATGGTCTCTGAGTCCTCATCTCCTCCTTGCGTGACCTGTAGTGGTCTAGTACCCTAGTGTGTCTTGAAACCCTTATTTTTAAACATTTTTTTAAAAAAGATTTTATTTATTTATTTGAGAGAGAGAGAGAGAGAGAGAGAGAGCACGAGTGGGGGGAGGGGCAGAGAGAGAGAAGCAGGCTCCCAGCTGAGCAGGGAGCCTGATGTGGGGCTCAATCCCAGGACCCTGGGATCATACCTGAGCCGAAGGCACACACTTAACGGACTGACCCACCCAGGCACTGCCCCCCTTTTTAATGCTAGAAAATGGCATAAGCTGGGAACAAAACCAAGGTTAGGAAGAACCTGGATTGGTGAGCAGGCGGGGTATTCTGGGGAGTCTGCCATGCCTTGGGTACCCCTATTGCCGTACAAAGCACACTTTTAGCCCCAAACTAACCAACTGCTGGCAGGCCAGCGACCACCTCGACTTAGGGTAATGAGTTCCATATGTTTCCATAAGAGCCCAGCTAAGCTTTTCCCCAGCAGTTCTTAAAAAGTGTTCTCTCCCCTCCCCAGCTTCCAAATCATGCTTGGCCACCCTTGTTTCATTTGCTCCTAATGAGGGCAGGAGGGAGGAGGCTGGGTGGCACTGACAAGGAGGCTTTAGGGAATCACCATCCCTGACTTCACATTTCCAGATCCTCAAGGTGCATGGGGGGGGGTGGTGGATGGGGAAGGGGGGGGTGCTACCAGCCCCTGGCAGTCCCTCTATAGGAGCTATGTGAGGCCATAAGCCCCATCTCTAAAGTGGGAATAACAATCCCTGCTCAGGGTAAGCAGGTATCACAAAAGAGCCCTAGATAGGAAGGTAGAGGCTTGGATTCGAGTCCTATCTTGACTATGAACTTTCTGTATATGCCTCAGCAGGCTCCTTCCCCTCTCTGGGCCACATTTGTGTCCTTCTGTCCCTGATGAGCTTTAGATTTATAAACAAATGGCAAAAAGTACAGAGAAGAACATCAACCTAGCTGTCAAACATGGGCGGCTCCAGGGTGGGGCTCGCAGGAAGCCCAAGGCCTCCCTACCATGGTCAGTGTTACTGCCCATCTGGGCTCCCTCCGACCGTGGTGTGGCCCACTGAGAGTTCTGCCTCCCACATCTGGCACAAAGTTGGAGTAGGGTGGTGTTGTTGAGGAGGAGAGGGAGTGTCCGCAGATGGAGAGTCAGTTCTATAGCTTATGTGGGGAAGAGGGGAGGCCCTGGTCAGCCCCCCAGCCGTGGAGTAACATGAATCTGAGTTCAGAGCGCTACGGCACCCCCCTCCCTTGATCTTGCTTGTCAAAGATAACCCCCAAATCCTTGTCATAAATAACCTAGCACCCTGATCCGGACTGTCCACTGGCCCTACCCAAAGACTGACTCACTAACTTTGACCACTGATGCTACTCAGACTGACCCTCACACCATGTCTATTAACCCAGGCCACAGACTGCTGCCAGCTCCCATCCGCGCTTAGCCCCAAACCCTGTCACCGTCTGGCTGAACTCCAACTCTGGCCACCTCCTCACCCTACTTTCAGACTGATCCCTGGTTTTGGTCACAGGGAGACCCCTTGACCTTGCCACTGACTGACACTTAACAGGAGAAATAACCAGGGAACAATTAAATCCCAAATTGTGAGTGAAATAGGCCATGAGAGAGGCGAGTGGGGCGGGCTGGGGGGAGACTGGGGCGGAGGGCAGAGGCTTCCCGGAGGACCCCAGCGGGCCTGGGGCCACACTCAGAAGGTCGGATTGGCCTTGTGCGGGGCATGTCGCAGGCGCTCGAGGAATGCGAGTTGCCTGAAAGAATGAAGGAAGGAAGGAACGGGGCTGCGAGGCAGGGCGGCCGCCCGGCCAGGGCAAAGCTGCTTAGGCAGGAAGCGGGGTGGGGGCACGCTGAGGCTGCATCGGCCCGAGCGCAGCTGGGGGCAGCGGGAGAGCAGTCGGGTCAGCGACTGCGCTGGGTGGGGGGGGCCCCCCCAGGCTGGGAGGCTGGGAGGCTGGAAGGCTGGGAGGCTGGGAACTGGGAGGCCGCGCTGCTGGCAGAGTGGCGGGGGCGCCGCGAGGCTCCGGATGGGCTGGGAGCCCCGCCCGCAGGCTGCGGAGGGAGCCGGAGCCAGAGCGGAGCCAGAGCTCAGACATCCGGGCGCCAGCGAACACCTGCGAGCGGCCCCCAGGGCCCGCGGGGGGAGCGCGGGTCGCGGGGCCGGGGGCGGGGCCGGCCGGGGGCGGGGCCGGCTCGCCTCCGCCCCGCCGGGCTTGGGCCACGTGGGCCGAGGCTCCGCCCCTGCCCGGGCCCTGAGCCGCGGCCGGTGGACAGGGGCGAGCTGCAAGAGGGGGGAGCGGGCAGAGGGGACCCCGAGAAGCAGTTCTGCGGGAAAGAGAGAGCGATAGGAGGTTTCAGAGTGTAGCCTGGGGAATGGAGAAGAGTGGTGGCCATGAGAGGTGATGAGGCCGGGAGGACAGATAATTAAAGGTTGGGCGCATCCACAGCTGGGGAGAGCTATAACTGGCCTCCTCAAAAGGGCACCATCTCCGGTGTCACGGGCCTGAATTTGAATTCCTGCTTTGTTACTTAGGAGCTGTGTGGCTATGGGCAAGTTCCTTCGCCCGTCCTGAGCCTGGCTGTCTTGTTTGTTTGTTTTATTTTAAAAGTAAAAATCTCTTCCAAATGTCCCTATTTCAGAGCTGACGCGATAATGAACTTAAGACACTCAACTAATAGTGAATCTTGCGTTTCAGGGAACCCGGGAGATGCTTTTTGTACGTTACCTTTAATCCGAGTCACAAACCATCAAGGGAAGTACCATCACCCCCTTTCACAGATGAGGGAGAGGGACCCGGGGTAGCCCTGAGTCTTCCATTCGGCAAACACACATTGGGGACTAAACAAGTACCAGGTGCAGGGAATGGCGAGGGAGAAGAGCTGGCCTGGAGGAGAAGTGAGAATATGGGTTCTGAAGCTACATGGAGTTGGGTTTACTAATACTTGCTGTGCCACTTCTCTGCGGTGTGACCTGCATCAAGTCATTGAGCCTCTCTGAATCTGTTTCTTCTGTAAAATGGGGATAATGATACCCCCTTGGCTGGGTTGTGGTGAGGATTAGAAAAAATTAAGATAAAATAGAGCCTGGCACCTGGCAGCACTCGATAGGTGATTATGACAGAAGACACTACCCTCATTTTGAGAGTTTTCCAACCCACGGCCAGATTGCTTTCACTCTCTAATGACTAATGAATTGGCATGCTGGTTTCAGCTTTTGTCCCAGCCACCTGAACAGCTCAGTCTCAGCAGACCTGACAGGCAATTTCCTTGGAATTAGCTTAATAATACCTTGTAGGTGTGTGATGCGTTTCAAAGAACTTTCCCACCATTATCTTCCGTCCAGGGATATGGCAGTACAGGAACTGAGAGCTGCTGGGCAAAGGAGGAGAGAGGCTTGGGGAGGTAAAGCGGTTTGCTCAAGGTCACACGGCAGATGAGCGATTTGGGTCTTTCTAGCCGTCCCCAGCCCCCCAGCTTCTGAGTGAACAGGAAGCAGCATGCTGTGGCAGAAAGGGCAGAAGAGGAGTTCAATGTCTGCCATTGATGGTCAAAGGTAGGGCCAGGTGCCTCGGAGTGGATGGCTCAGGATCAGCAATCTTGCCTAGATGTGGAAACTGAGGGTCCAGGGGGGCAGTCTCTAGCTTGCAGTTGTACAGCTAGGATGTGGCAGAGCAGGAATTTGCACCCCTGTGTGGCGGTCACCAGAGCCAGCACAGCACCCCTAACAAAACAAACCAAGGGAGACCCAACCTGGGTCGAGACAAGAGTTCCTCACATGGGGACTGAGGACTTCCCAGGGGACTGGAGGGCTGCTATGACTCTGCAAAGGGGGTGCGTGTGCATGTGTGTGTGTATTTTCTGGAGTGCTCATACCTCCCACCAGATCATCAGAGGAAACCAGGAAACAGGTTGGGAACCACTGGACAGCCGGTTAGCAAAGACAAGAGGTTGCCTCCCCACTACATGCCCCTGTTCACCCCTGAAAGCTCACCAGGGTTAAGGAATGAAGGGTGGTGACGTGACCGGTTTGTTATGAAATATTGAAGTAACTCATGCCAGGGGCCAACACACAGATGAGATCATATCATAAACAGGAATCTAGTGAGGCCAGGAGCCTGGTGGAGCCCACCTGGGGAGCTGTCAGGTAGGGGGCAAAGGGGGCTGGTGTGGGTTGGGGGGTCTTGCCCTCTGCCCCACTCTCAATAGCTCTGCTCCTGTCCACTACAATTGTAATCACTGTAGTTAGGTTAAAATCCCATCTCTTTCTCTCAAGGGGCTGTGAGAACCCGGCTCAGACCCATTATCCACTGCTGAATTCTCCATTTCTGAAAGTGTTAGAGATGCTCACAGAGTAGACTCCCAGTGGAGGTGTTACGGGAAGGAAATACCAGAAGGAATAGGGGGCTGTGGGGCTGCTTCTTCAAATTCCCAGTCTAGGCTCAGTCTTCAACTACCTGGTGGTAGGAGAGGGATTGGTACTGGTGTTCCCCAGCCAGCCCCCAAATCATTCTGATAAGAGTGGCTGGGGATTTGAGGGACAAGAAAAACCCCTCTCCTATTTTTTCCAAATTTGGAAGCCAAATCAGAGAGCAAGAGGAGGGAAATGAAACCAGGCCCTGATCTGCTTATTCATCTCTGAAATGGGTCTATCAACCACCAGCGGTCTGGGCACCAGGTGAGACTCCACTCTTCCACATCCCCTGCTAGAAAGACATCATGAATAATTAATGACACCAAAGCCATCTGGTAATGCAGCAAAACAGCTCAAGGGACTTAAGAAACTGGGACTCAGGAGACCTAAGTTCTATCCTGGGCTCCTAACTTGCTGGGTGAGCTCCCCTCACATCTTTCCTCATCTGTAAAATGAGGGGACAGGGCCAGGATCTTCCCTGCACCCAACCCTTAATGGATATGGGGCTCCCATCATGAGCCCTTTCCACCGCCCCCCCATTCCAGTCTTAACTGGCATTTCCCCATCTCCCTTAAATAAGCAAGCTTGCTTTTCCCAAGGTCCAAGAAGGACATTTACTTCCCCTAAATTCAGCCTTATGAGAGTGTTAGCACTTAAGGAAACAAATTATATACTCAAGTGTTTAAAAACCGTTTATTATGCAAAATGTTAACTTTTATAAAAAGTTTAATATACATTGCATGGTTACAGAAAGTCACCTTCCTGCAAAAAAGGTACAAAAGCTATATACTCTATTATAGAGTTCATAATCAGGGCAACAGAGCCTTTCTCCAAGGAGACCAGAAGACCAGCTCTACTGCTGCCTTGGCAGACTTTGGAGAGCAGCCACTCCCCCCACAACCTCCACACTGTGAAAGACAGTCTTTAAAACTTGGGGGTGGGGTGGGGGCTGGGAGACGTTGCCCAGCTGGTGCCCAGAGCTAGCTCTGGCTCTTTAGGCCACCCAAGTTCACAGTCCTTCGTTCCCGGGCGCCAGGTCCAGCCTCGAGGCAGGGGTTTGGGGAAGTCAAGTGGGCAGGGCGAGGTTGGGGCCCATCCATGCCCTCGGGCTTCCGGCCGTAGAGGGTCCCGGGGTCCCAGGCGGAACGGGCGCCAGCACCTGCGTTCTGGGCGGGGGGAGGAAAGAAGACCAGGGAGCCATCAGTTTCCGCCGAGCGCGCCGAGGCGGGGGCCGTCCGCAGACTGCCCGGCGCCAGGGAGGAAACTTGGTCTCTACCTCCAGCTGATAACTCCGAGCCCCATGCTGCCCCCACCCAGTTGGCGCCAAAGGACCACAGGCGGAGCTTGCAACCACCCCGCCCTCTTGGAATTGACACTAGCTGGGAGAGGGCTGAGGAAGACATAGCTTCCTTTACGATTCCAAACTACAAACAGAACGGCTATTTTATTTACCTGCGCCTACTTTTTCTCGTGTCTTTGGCCATCGGGGGAGGGCAGGAGCAAAATGCGTTCAAGGTTGAAACGCACATTGGATGGGAATTGGTTCTGTCATTCATTTAATGTAACCACAGGTAAGTCACTAGCCCCTCTCCCGCCTCCTTTTCCCCAAACTGAGGAGGCAGTAATCCCTTAAAAGGCCAACCAATTCCAAAATTTGTCGTTTAAGCACCGCCCCACCTCCACCCCCTGGGCGAAGGCGGGGATACTCACCTGGAGGCGCCAGGACTGCCAGGTCAGTGGCAGAAGCTCCTCTTGTCGTTGGAAATCACAAGTTCCGGAGCGAGCTCGGCTGTCTGAGAGAAGGGAAAGAAGGGAAAGTCATGCATGGCATTTGGGGGTTTTAGGGGGTTCTGGCAGCATCCGGGCTCTGGAGCTCAGCCCCGCCCCAGCTCCCGCGCACGCCGCCACACACCTGGATGGGAAGATGCGGGCCGTCTGGGGGTCCAGGGGCGGGCTCGGCCAGAACCACCTGCAGGTCGAGGATATAGTCGATGACGCGCTGCAGGATTTCCACCTGGCTAAGCTGAGTGCCTCGCGGGACTCCGGGGACCAGTTCCCGCAAGCGCGAGTAGCAGTGGTTCATGTCGTCTAACAGGCTCAGCGGCTCCTCGGCTGCCGGACCCTTGCCGCGCCCGCGCGCGATGGCCAGGCTGCGTTCCGACAGGCAGCACACCGCCTCGTAGCAGCCGCGCACCGGGCTCAGCGCCTTCATTCTGAGGAATGAGACTGGAGGTGCCGAAAGGACGAAGAGAGCGAAAGAACCCCCAACAGCAGCTGGTAACGCGCGCACGCTAGCCGCGGCCCTACTTATAGAGCCTGCCTCGAAGGCACGCCCCTTTATGCAAAGCGTGCGCCTCGGCCCCGCCTCCGCCAACCCTGGGCGTTCACAACCCGGTTAAATTGCAAACAGGCTTCCTCCGGCTGGTCTGACGCCGAATACCGCGGAGCCGCGGATTCAAAGAATGAGGAAGCGCTGATACTGGGGAGAGGCAGGCCTCTTGGCCAGCAAGGATTTTAAAAATCACTTAAAACCATTAACTTTAAGAATTTGCCCTTTCCTGGCAGCGCCCCAGATCTTTGAGCTCCCCTGTCCCCTGCCAGTCCACCCACAGCCCAACACTAGTTCGAACCCACAGCTCCTCTGAGGTCATAAATCCCTGAACAGCAAAGAAGCTTTTTTTTCTTTCTTTCTTTCTTTCTTTCTTTTTTTTTTTTAAAGCAAAGGATTTTTCAAGGGAAACTTGTAAGGAATTAGTGCCGCCTTGTTCCCCAATTTGCTGTTCGTCTGACCTCCAGACTCACTGGCGTCAGGAATTATCTTGTGACCAGAGGGGAAAAAAAATTAATTGCGGTGAAGCTGAGGTTACAATGAAGAAAACAGATTTGGGCTAGGGCTGAGATTGCAGAAGGAGGAGGGGAAGGAGGTTTGAGCAAAGAACACTATTTATTTGAGCAACAGGGGAAAAGAAAAAAAAGGAAGAAAGCAGGCTGAATCCGTCATTTTTGCATGGGGAAAGAAAGGAGCTCCCACACTCTGGCCCCATGCACTCCATAAGGAGCCAAAGATATGCCAATTGTGTTTTGGAAGTGAGTTTGATTAGAATTTTGGACCGAGTTTTAAATATGGGGCAACAGACAGGATGATTTCTATATAAATCTTTTTAGGGGTCCCCCATTGGGTCAGCCAATCTTTTAACTCTTGCTTTGTGGCGCCCCCCCCCACACACACACTTTCCACACACCTCTGTGTAGAAAACAATAGTTTGGTAATTTCATCACTCTATTGTCTGTCCCTTTCTGCTATGGAAGTGTAAGCCACCTGGACTTGATTATTCTTAGCCTTGCTGAAATAGCTCTAGCTCTGAGAGCCCAGGAAAGGGATCAGAGGACAGGGAAGCTAAGCCCTGTATTGCAACAGGACATTGCACTCAGTATTCTTTGCTTGTCTTCTTGTCACTTCCCAGAACTTTTGGGAATTTGCAGCTTCAAAATGCTGGTTTTCATCTTGGAATCCCAGATGGGATTCCCCCAATGGTTGCTTCCTAAGTCAATCAGTTGGTAAATATTTATGGAGTCACCTTGCATAAAACAGTGGCTCCTGCTCTCAAGAATCTCACAATTCGGGGAGACAAAATTAACACAGGAAACAATTAAGAGTTCTATAGTATGTGGCACTGATTAACAGGACAATGGGAGCTCAGAGCTAAGAGAATCTCAAAATTGTCATGGTAGAAAGGACGCTGGACTAGGAATCAACATCCCAGCCATAGGATCTTGAACAAGCCCAGGTACCCTGGCTTTGGTTGCCTTGTGAATAATATGGTGAGATGGTGCTAAGTGATTATTTTAAATCCTTTCCAACAATGGAAATCTAAGGCTTTATGAAATTTGGACAGGCAGGTGTAGGGTGGTAAAGGGCCCAGAGAGGGGCTATAAAACACGTCCAAGCTCACGCCAAAGCTAATGGCAGAGCCAACCCTGAAGTCCCATTGTTTGCCATCAAACCACAGGGCTCTGTGTCTTCTAGAAAGGGGTCTTCTAAAGATTTCTCCCTAAAATGTTAATGTTTTCAAGTTTCTTATATTCTTTAGCATAAGAAGGAGGAAGAAAATAACCTGTAAGTGCACAAGTCAATCTATAAATGCTACAGACGTTAAAAGAAGAGAATGCCAGCTATTTGGTCACGGGAAGGGAAAATGGTGGCTGTGCAAGACTCCTGAGTGACCAAATAGAAAACCCTTTCCTTTTCTATCACACAGACTTCCGTGGTTTGTGCAAAATGGTCAAGCCGGGGCCAGGGTGGGGGTTGGGGGGCTGGAGGTGGTTCTGAAAAATCATGGCCTTTCAGGGCCAGGCAGATTTATGTTCAAATCCCTGTTCTTCTCTTTTACTAATGATGTTGAACTAAGTCAACTCTCCTTGCCTCAATTCCCCAGTTTATAAAATGAAACTAATTAGACCTACCTCATTTATTCAACAAATAATTATCGCATGCCTCTGCTCTGCAAGGCACTTGACATGCTCTCTCCACCAGGTATGTTAGTCTCCTCGGTGCCTGGGGACACAGCATGGGGCCAGGTGTGTGGTAGTTGCTGGGTCAACAGGTCCATACAGGTTCTCTTCTCTCCTTTTCCCTCCTCCGTTACTACCACTGATGCCTCAGGCTCGGGTACCTGTTTGCAAAGCACTTTCACATTTATTATTTCCCAAGATGCTTTCAGGCTGAAATGCTCATGGGCTGTGTGACACAAGGCAGTAGAAGGATGCAGTGAGATTAGCAAGGAGAATTCTCTCTTGGCCACACGAGTAACTTGCAATGTGGCCTTGGACACGTCTTCTTCCCTCCTGGGCTGAATTTTCTGCAAAATTGGGGTGGGGGGGAGCAGAAGGGAGCAAAGGACCTCTAGGGGTCTTCTCCAATCTAAGATTCTAATTCTGAAAGAAGCAGGGTACGGTTGGGAACACTGAATAAAGTTTGAACCCGAGAGACTTCTTTTTCCAGCAACGGACTAGAGGGCTAGCTCAGGCCTTCTGCAACTAGTTTGGTGGTGGCGGGCCCTCAGCCTCTTATTCCAAATGCCTCTGAACTTTCTGTTCCCAGTTCTGCTCCTTTTACCAGCTTTTTCCCCCCTCTTGCATTTTTTATTTTTATGAAAGGATGTCATTAAGGCTTTTGTCTGCGCTGTTTTTGTTTCAGAACTTTTCTCACAATCCTATTTTTTGTTGAGGAATCCGCTCCTTTGCCCAGCTGTGGGTCCCGGTCCCACAGCTGTGTTGATCTAAGACTCAGCCCCAGACAGCCTGGCGCCAGGGTGGGACGTCATGCGTTCACACAGGGATGCGTGTCCCAGGCAACCTTTCCTCGGGCAGTCACCGGTCGGCGACTGCCGCCCCCACCAATGAGCGCCCGACACCCGAGAAAGGGGCGGGGTCTGCGCCTCCCCGACCGGCGAGCGGCTCGTGAATTGCAGATGCTGGGAACTTGATAACGTTCCCTGAATTGGGGCCCTTTAAAGTCTTTTTCCCCCCTCCCTCTTTTAGTTCTTTCTTTTCTTCCTTTTGTTTATTCTTTCTTTCCACCTTCTTCCTTGATCTATATATGTATCTAGTTTTTCTTTGTCATCTCCATCTTCCTTTTTAAACTATCTCCTCCCAGTGTCAGGAATCATTTTGTAAGCATTTCCAGGAACTGAATCTTCCTTTGCCAAAATTGAAAGAAAAAAAAAAAAAAGAAGAAGAAGAAGAAAAGAAAAAAAATTCAGTGTTGTGTTCAGTGTTGTGTTCTCTGATTTTTTGAAGAGTTGGCAAAACTATTAAGTTATACTGTTTTGTCTCTAAAATTTTAAAAAGTGGTGGGGGGTCTATGAGCTGTCGCCTTCAAAGCCAAAGTAATGATGAGAACGGCAGATGTCTTTTTGCCTAAACTGAGTTTCTATCTGTCTACCTATCTGTTTTTTTCCCCAGTTATGTTGTAAAGTTGGAATCAAGGGAACCTCAAAAACTTGCCCAAGGTTACTGGGATGTCAGCTGCAGACCTGGGGCCAGGACTGGGACCTCCCCCTCACTTGGCTCCCTGTCCACTCTGTCCTCTAACTCTCATCAGCATTAGGATGGCCTGCTGTGGTCTCAGAACATCCCCAGAGGCTGCATTTCCTAATAGGTACCTGTTTGCTCCCAAAGTGCCTGTAACCGTGTGCTGAGGATGTTCCAGCTGGGCACATAGAACAGATTCCTTCTCCCCTCAGGGAGGCTAGACCTCAAAGTGCTGCTTAAGACTCATGTGATGCAAGGAAAGCACAGGGAATTCAGAATCAAGACCAGCCTCAAATTCCTGTATGGACTACTGCCCCTCACTCTGCCTCAGTTGTCTCCTCTGTAGAATGGGGAGGAAAATAATACCCACTTACGCACAGCTGGGAGGATCAAAGGGGAGGAGGGATGTAAAGTGCTGTGGGAACCAATTAGTTATATTTCTGTGCTATGATGTGATGTACCCCTGGTGGGTGGAATAGGTAGGTGGTGCCAGGTGCATTTACTGGTTCCTGCTGAGACTGTTCCTGCTGAGGAATGTGGGTAATAGCAAGAAGGGACTGTAGGAAGCATGGGGGATCTAAGGCTTGAGTCCTTATAGGGGTGGGGATTTCAGAGGCCTCCAAGATAGGCTATCTTATAGTTAAGAAGTCCTTGGTGCAATCATCATCATCATCATCCTTCATTGAATCTTAACTCTTCACCTTCTCATACATTATCTCATTGATGCATTTTATGGACAAGGAGACTGAGGCTCAGAGAGGTTAATATGCTTGCCCAAGCTCACATAGCCAGTAAGTAGCAGATCCAAGATTTGCACCCATATCTGCCAGTCTCAAAGCTTGCGTCCTTCTGTGACTATGCTTTTCGTTCTGTTCCTTCAAGGGACCTCTTGGGAAGGTAGCTTGGACCTGAGAGCATTTTATTCTACTGGATAGAGAAAAGCAAGTGTGGGGGGTGCATTCGATAGGAATACAGACAATACAGACACTAAGGTGTTGGGGACATTAAGGGAAAACCTTTGTTTTCTAAGCAAAGAGACTCAGGGAGCTTTGGAAATTTCTTGGAAATTTGAAGCTTTTTTCATTCCCCCAAAAGCCCTTTCCTGTCCATGTTTTAAGGGACATTTATTCTTTTTATTTTTTTAAGATTTTATTTATTTATTTGACAGAGAGAGACACAGTGAGATTGGGAACACAAGCAGAAGGAGCGGGAGAGGGAGAAACAGGCCCCCCGCGGAGCAGGGAGCCTGATGCCATGCAGGGCTCAATCCCAGGACCCTGGGATCATGACCGGAGCCAAAGGCAGACACTTAATGACTGAGCCACCCAGGCGCCCCTAAGGGACGTTTATTCTTAAAGTGCAGAATGACTACTCCTGTTTTTAAGAGTCAGTTTGGAATTGAGTTTCCTCCCTGTCTTCTTCTTCCAACCCAAATCCAACCTAGTTTGGTCCAGTCATACCACCCTGAAGTTAACTAACCCCTTGCTTCAACAGGTAGACAGTGACCATGGGATGTCCAGGAGCTGGCTTGGCATCTGGGGTGAAGGGGTGGACACCCACAGGGAAGCAGGTCGGGAGTTTATTTCCTGAGAACTATCCTTTGTTGGGTGCTTTATAAACTCTATCTTACATAATCTGCTCTAGAGTCTTTGGGGGTAGGTATTATTATGACAAAGATCCTGAAGTTCAAAGAGATCTGTCACACAGCTGGTTGGTATAAAACTCCACCAATCAAGATTTGAATCTGGGTCTATGTTTCAAATCCTGATGCACACGAGGATGGAGACACGTATTCAAACTGCACGCAGTGTGCAAACACAAAGGACTGGTTCTCTCACCCTAGCATCTCTAGGCTAGTGAGTATGGCCAGCAACAACCTGTCAAGCAGGGACAGTTTTGGAACTTCTAGAATTTGGAGAGCATCAGTGGGTTATGTGGGAGTTTAACAATGACTTAAAAAAAAAACAACAAAAGGGGGTGCCTGGGTGGCTCAGTCGGTGAAGCATCTGCCTTTGGCTCAGGTCATGATCCTGGGGTCCTGGGATCGAGCCCCACATTGGGCTCCCTGCTCAACTGGGAACCTGCTTCTCCTTCTCCCTCTGCCTGCCACTTCCCCTGCTTGTGCTCTCTCTCTCTCTGTGTGTCAAATAAATAAATAAAATCTTAAAAAAAAATAAAAATAAAAAACAACAAAAGGAAACAAGTATATTGCAGAGGTTTTACTATTTCCAAAGCACTTTCATTCAGGATTCCAGTGAACACTCCTAACCGCCATATGGGCATATAGCTCATCTGCCCTGTGGCCAGGTGGTCTTTATCTCTCTGGTTTCAGCATACCTCCCAGTGCCTGGCACAGAGTGGGCACTTAATAAAGATGTACTGAATTAAATTCCACCTCAGTCATCACTTTAGGAGACCCCTTGGGGGTGGAGGGATTTAAAACTCAAATGCAAGTTGTACTGGATGACTCCGATTCTGTGACTCTCAGGCATCATGTTTTTGCCGCAGATGCCAGCAGTTGGATTTGGGCTCCCACTAAAGGGGGTCAGAAAAGGCTTTAGAAAGATGTAGTCCAAAGAAAGAAAAAAGGTGCTCCCCCCAAAGGCCTTGAAAAGCAATGTTCACCCTTCCCAGATACTGTCTGTGTTGGCCTAGGTCCCAGCTGCAGTTCAAAGGCTTGGAGGGTGGGTACTGAGGTCAAGAGGGGGGGATCTGACCTGCGAGACAGGTGTCCCCACCAGAGAGGGAAGGGCTGCTCTACCTTCAACAAGGCCAGAGCTCTGCAGTGAGCTGGAAATGCAGGCCTGTCTGAAAACACAGGGGCTGCAGCCTATAGCTCAGAGAGAGCCTCTTGCGGACTAAAGCTGTCCCGAGTGTCATCATGGCAGCAAAGCACAACCTTTGCTGAGTGCCAGGAATGAGCCAGGCATCTTACATGTATTTTCTCTCTCTCAATCCTCATATCAGTTGAAGCTCAGAGGGGTGAGGTGACTTGCCCAAGGTCACACAGCTGTTGGGAGGCAGAGCAGAGCTGCCTGAGTCCAAAGCTTGTGCAGTGAGCCAGGCTACCAACTGGAGGGTGAAGGAAGCAAATGCTGGAGAATGGGGGACTGTCTTAAGGAGGAATTGAGGATGGAAGGAGAAAGAAATTCACATTTGAAATCCATTTTGCTCAACAGACCCTCATGGTGTCAGGAGGTGTAGGTGTGTGTCTCTGAGGAAGTGGGTTCCTCTCCGACTGTGTGTTTTCCTCCCTGCGTGTGTGGCCTTCACCCTTCTCTGGGTTTTGGGATCCTCCTTGCGGGTTGTGTGTCTGGGCCCCTGGTGAGAGTGTGGGTGTCTCCCCAGTGCGGCAGCCTATTTAGATGCGGGGTGTGGCTCCCTGCCTGGTATACGAGCTTATCTGGGTGTGCGGCCTTCTCCCTAACGTGCCTGCTTCAGTATGTGTCCATCTCCCCCCGATCTTCGGACCAGGTGCAAACAGGGCCAAGAGGACAATGAGCTTGCACACCCGGTGGCCTTTTCCTCCACTCCCTCACTTACTGTGACCCCCCCTCCGCCTTCACCCCCGCGCCCCGGCTGCCCCCATTCTGGCCCTGTCCGACCTTGGCCCTCCTAGCCTGCGCCAGGACGCCCCACC